AGTCTTCAACAATTATGACTGTTATTCGCTTTCAAATAACGCCTGTAATACTTAGCAATTGCTCGATTTCGAGCAACAGGGACACTAGTTTAACTAAACCTGCAAGAATATCAACTGTCTAATTTTCTTTCATGTATCATCGAGTGATCAGACTATTTGTTGAATTTAGCCATAATTTCATGGTGAGCAAACTTAACGTAACAAACCGTGACAAGAATCATAAACCTGGCAGCATCCCCAACATCTAACTACCAAAGCTTCTCTACGTGATGTCATCTCATTTTATAGAGTACTCAAGCTATTTCTGCCCCAACCTCATAATTCCCAATGTTTTAAGTATCGTTTGGGTCATGATACAAACTAAACAACGCTTAGATGAAGATAAGCTGAAACTAATTTGCGGGAACCTATTTTTATAATGGGTAAAGTAGGTGATGTTTTACAAAGGTAGTTTAAAAATTTTACATTGTTTTCCATTTGTTTATTTACTCTTGTAAATTGGCATAGAGGTTTTCTTAAATTCTTCCAAATATTTCAAATCATTTCTGAGTAACGGTGGGTAGATGTCCACATGGCATAGCAATATGTACGTCCTAAGGCTACCTGGGACCATGATTTACCCAAGTGTTAAATTGCAGCCTAGTCACTTCAATAGTTTTTACGTTTTCCTGGAACAAACCAATAAAAAACACAAATGCATCACAATGGATTCGCTTAAAATAATGCCTTCTTTTTTATTTACTGGAACTCATAAGTGAACCAATTTGGGTTAAAGTCCGTCAAATTAGTATACAAGATAAGCAGTTTTTTGTTTTCAAGAAGTATATAGGACTCACAGTACTTTCAGTGGTTTATTTACAAAAAAATATCAGTGTAATATTTTAATAGTCATATTACAATGTAATGTATAGTGTACAGTCTGACTAAGGCGTAATATACATTTCATTTTGCTAAAACTTCAGAATGTTTTGTTGTGTACACAGTATATATGATGTCTTTATTTCTGAATAAATTGATATGATTTCATGTGAATTCATAACAACCTAAGAAAAAATAAAAGCAATAGTAAATAACCATTTTGTTGTATAGTGTTCTTAAAATAATGCTGACACAGTTTTGAAGTAAACATAGTGAGGCCAGTTCATTGTTGTGCTACAAAGTCAATGAAAACAGTGATAAACCAAGTACATTAAACCTTTGGTGACAAATGTATGTTATGAACATACAGAAAGTGCCAACTCTAGTGTCAGCTTGGTTAAAACCGACAATCACTAAGTATTATACAGTAGCATTCCTTTGAATTTAACTATTTAAAACTTTTCATTGTATTCTTCAATTGTGGATAAGACAACCGAGTATCTATTTATAGCCAATAGCTCTGATTACTAAAATACCCCCGGCGCAGCAAACCTGCCGACTAAGCAAATTTCCATTTGTCTGAATTGATTTTTAACTAAACCTAATTTTACTAAACATTAGGTTTAATGAGTACCTAGGTTTGCTGCTACAAGGAAACGAATAAAGTATATTTTTTAGTAAAATATTAATAGCTTAGTATTAAATAAATAAATCTGCTAAGTTTGATAAAAATATATCCATAAACAAGCAAACTACTACATTTTACAATATTCTCTGTAAAAATAGCATGGGAATTTTAAAATTTTTTGAATTTTCTCCGTTACCAATAACTGTACAAAAACACGTTGATATACTAAATTATAGTTTTTTTTAAGCTCTTTAAAAAGGTCTAGAGAGAAATTAAGAAATTGTTTGTGTTGAGGGTCAAAAATAAGAAAAACCATATTAAATTTATAGAATTTAAATTTCAAACATTACCAATGGTAGGTCCTGATTTTTTGTTTGTTTTGCAAAGGTGTCTCTGATTTGGAGTTTAAAGTCAGAAACAGAGTGTTTTTTTTATATAATACATTTTGAAAGTTCTTAAGGAAAGAATTTCAAATTTGTAGCTTATTTGAAAATAACGTCATGAGTGTATTCTGTGGACGCAAAATTAAATTTCCTACCATTTCATCGACTTGAAAACAGTTTTAACAAAACTAAACTGTCTCAAAAAACTGTCGCTTTTCCACTGGTATTATAATGAATAAAATACACTCTGTTACACTATTCACCCTTAAAAATTAGACAAACCATTAGTCAACTTTAGCACATTTAAACATAACTGGACATGAAAATCTCAGGTGTTACATATAACAAAAGGTGTACTTGCAGTATCCAATGTCAATGCCGCAGTGTAATTCTTCATAGGTGTTTGAGACGTAACTTCTATTTGTAAAATACTCAGTGTCTCTGGCAGTCGAGTGTGTGAACAGTGTAGAAATAGTCCAGTGTTGGCACTTTTGTTCTCAAACCCCATTAATCTTGTGTAATGTGTAGCGACCCCCGCAACACACGTGGCAGGTGATAGTGGACATCCAAAACTGACAAATTATTATAATACCATATTGTTATTTTTATAAGTATAATTTATACAGGGTTAGTACGGTCAGGAAAAACCTGGAAAAGTCAGGGAATTATGAAAAAATTCTGGAATTTCTCCTGAAAGACTACTTTTTTACGGATATGGTACATTCTGCACCTAAACATGTTTTTATCAGGGTGATGACTAATGGCAAAAAGAACGACATGAGCACTGATGCACATTTTTATATCTATAGTTATTTATCGGGGTAGTAATCGATATGTACATAGTTTAAAACAAGTTTTGTATTTGGGAGTGATTAAATAATTTAAATATTTACATTTTTCTAATATTTCTTGATTTTGATCGGTCGATATTGACTTGCAGTATACCTGGAAAAAGTATAAAGTCTGGAAAACCTGGAAAAGTCAGGGAATTTTGTTTTCCAAATTTAGTGCCAACCCTGTTTATACTTTTGTAAGTTGTAAAAACAAAACCGGTTTGCTAGGAAAGGGTTTATTTACTACAGTAGACTCCCTCTTATCCGGATACCTTTAATCTGGACATCGGTTTAACCGGACTACACTCGGCAGAAATGACATCTCTTTAACCGGACAATTTTTATCAGCACATCGGTTTAACCGGAATAGATCAGCAGGAAGTGGGCGGTACTGAAACGACTGTTCTTGTGGGATGGATTTGAGACCAGTGATCATGTCTCTAATTACAATTTTCGCCTGAATTTAAGTCAAATACTGTACACAGTATGCATTTAAACGGTCAGTCAAAACTAGTTTTTGGAGACATCGATTTAATCGGAAAACCCGTTATCCAGACTGGCCTCGGTTCCGAGAAGTCCAGATAAGAGGGAGTCTACTGTATTTAATTTTCTGTACATAAAATTTAAACTTTGAAATGGATTTAAATTGGCAAGGTTTTGTAGGTGATTTCCTTTTGAAAGAAAAATAATAAATAATCCAAGATTGCTTAGATAAAATAGATTAAAACTGTATATTATCTGGAAGAGGTGGGTTGAGGCCTCTAGGCGCTTCATCTGGATTGATATGATAGGTTACGTATCATTTTGTCCGTCTTCAGTCTTTAATATAGTCAAGGTTGACTAGTTTCGGGTCAATGACCCATTTTCAAACTCATGTCAAATTGGTTGGTCCATGAAACTGAAGGAAGTCTTTGTTTAAATACATGTTGACACATAAAGTTCACAATTTAACACACATTTATTTCATCTAGATTATAAAATTGTCGCATGTCTAACTCAGTTGCTTTCTTCATATACCTCCAATGCCTAGACACCTGGGGAGCGAGCTGACGTAGTGGTTAGAGGGACGTCAGTCCCTGAGGTCCCGGGTTCGATCCCTGCCAAATCACCAATGGATTTTATCTAAGTGATAATACCGCAACCCCTAGGTCTAGCCTGAAGTAATGTGAAAAACAACCCCGGGCTCGTGCCTAACGTCCTAGGACAAAAAAAAAATTCCTAGACACCTGATAATTGCCAGCTTTCTACTAAACTGTTATTACTCAGGAAGGTGACTCACTCTTAACAGGTTGCTCTTCTTACCTCAAGGAGCTCCTTACAGTCAGAAAGCATTAAAACGACAAATCCCTAAATAGTATTCAAGAATCATTGTGAATTTCCAAATCTGAAGTTTAACGAATGCAGAATCTTGAGCTCTAACCTACTCTACTACAAGAGTGAAAAACATGAAATCCATTTATAAACTTATGTTTTGCTTATATTCGCTTATTAGTAACTGGTTATAGATTATTTCTAAATATGAAGATGCTATAATACTGGTGTTAGGAAAGTTTGTCTGCCACATTTAATTCTGTTATGAACATCTTAAACAAACCGGAGTCAATGAGACAAACTTAATTACATCCATTTGTTATCGTACTCCAAAACTCCTTAACAAAAAATTACAGTTCTTTGTTCTTGTATTCATTTTATTTATAAACACAAACTTTTCTACACATATGTCTGTTGTGTCTAGCATAGTTTGTGTCTATAAAAATATGAATACAAGAACAAAGTACAGTAGTTTTTAGTAAAAGAGTTCTGGAATACAATAACAAATGGCTGTAAATAAGTTTTGCTCCGGTTCGTTTAAGATGTTCATAACTGAATTAAATGTGGCAGACAAACTTTCCTGACACCAGTCCAAAAGCAAAACTTTGTGTTTAAAAAAATCTGTTAACATTTTGTTGTTCTAGAAAACATGTTTATTTACATATTATAGGTATCTATAAGAAAATTATATAAACAACTAAACATTTAAAATAAGTCTTGATTAGCGTTGTAAATGCTGGTGATATATACAGTTTAATAACGTAGCATATATAGCATACTATTGTAAACCTAATAAATTTTTAATTGACTGGTGGACTAAGAAAAAAATATTAAATAACCTAAATATACACATAACAATGCTACAATACAAAATTTGTTGTTAATGAAGATCGAACAGTTTTTCCTACAAAATTTGATTTTCCCTAACATTGAAGACCTTAGCCGACCTGTTGTAATGGTTTTGTTTGATGTAATGTGTTGTTTCAGTGCTGATCACTACGTACATGAGGTGATAATCAAAGAGACCACAACCACGGGTAGACCAACAGCTTCATCTGCTACTAAGGAACTAGATGACCTCATGGCATCTTTATCTGACTTTAAGGTATGTCAGCATGTTTGGTTTTATGCTTCTCTTGAATCTAACATTTGGAACCACTAGTTTTCTCGGTCAAGTTTCTCTAGTGCAAGGCATTCTTAGGAGGCAGTTTTGTGGCATGAGCTCAGGGAAATCATAAAAAATTGTTTTTAGGGTGTTTTACTACCTTTGACTCATTGTATATTATTCATTACATTTCCACATTTAATCTGTTGACAGATTTAGTATGAAAATGAAGGTATGTATCATGTAAGTTAGAGTGGCGTGCAGGATGCGGAAGCACGGAAGAATCGTCCTGCACCGTCGCTTTTGTTGTTTTTCTCAGTCAAGTACAATTAATTGACTTGACTGAAGACGTAGGGCTGCAACAAATACTCTTTACCGCACATGATTTTGGGCCTGCTTTACTTCTCTTCAGATCTTGCCTTCTTCTTGCAGTTCTTTTTACTGTTCCTTCACTTCCTTTTCCTACTTTCTTGCCTGTTCCAGTATAGAGCTCTTTAGCTCCAATATTGCTTTGACCCTTCATTATTCATATTACATTCATTCATTATTCATTCATTGATATTCATTCTTTGAATTATCCAGCTTTATTCTTTCATTAAAGATTTCAACAGGCCATCTCAGCTCTTCTCCACAACTCATTGTTTCTAACTGTGTCTTGGCTTTGGATGTTGAATATTTGTCGGAGACATCTATTTACACAAATCAAGTCGACAAAATACTTATCTTAAATTGATTGCCATTGGATAATAATCTAATACTACTGGTACTAGTATGACTTTTCAGTATTGTTAGTTTTCTCATCCCTCTCGAGCCTCTGTCAGTACATGTCTCTCTCTATACTGGTGTATATAGATGGATTGAGGCTATGACAAAATTGGAGTGTGCTAATGTAAATTACTGATTTATAACTCATAGCCAAGCTAAACTAAAAGGACAATTAATTGTAAACAAACCTTTTAATATGTAACATATTCTTCTCTAGTACTGTATAAAATAATAACAAAAGAAGACAAATTCAGACAAGTGAGTAGCTCATTCATGTTATATATATATATATTTTTTAAATTGGCTGTATCTGGTCCATAAAGATATAAAAGTTTTCTTCTTGAATATAAAAAGTCAATGCTACTTACTACTGTCTATTATCCAAAGTCAGCGTTTTCACACAAACTACAGCGGTTATCGTTGGATAGTGTTGACCGAGTGACATGTTACAGATATTTAGGTCATGGAGTCAGTCAGCTGTTCTCATCTCTCATCTGATTCTCACACCTGTCCTATTACATCCTGTATTTCTAACTAGAAAATTATTCTAAGCAACTCTAAGGGAAATATTTCTTGTCGTTGATCAAATGTAGGCTTTGTCAGAATCGTTTAAACCATTAGGCCTGTCATTGCTATAATAAATAAAGTTTTAAACAGCTGATTAGATATAGTGGATGTCTGGTGATCAGAAAATTTTATGTATGATCCCGAGAAAAGTCAATAGCTTTTTACAGTCCAAAACTGCTCTCAGCTGTTCTTGATAAATTGTGCACATATTAAATTAATCTGAATTAAGAAATAACTGATCTTGTTAATAATAAAGTTATCATTAAATCAAATTTTGATTCAGTCAACACTCATCCTCCACTTATCTACGCCCCCAAAGTGTCGGCATCCTATAATTTAAACTAGATATCCTTTGGTGTATGTACTTTTAATAGTTTTTGACTCCATAAAACCATAGCGTATTCAAATTCAGGGTTGCCACCAGCCATGAAAACCTTGAAAAGCTTGAATTATGCATGAATTCTTGTGACCATTCAAAAAGGCATGGATTATGCATGGATTTCTCCAATGGACCATGAATTTTCAAAATCAGGACCAATTATTTAACCAGTACCATTAAATTTCCCAAGTCCTACGATCAAAAACGATTGCTTAGTTCATTCCAAGTCATCCAAAGATGCTGATGTCAGCTGAGACTTCCTGAGGAATGTATATGGTTCTAAAAATTATTAGTAGGCCTACCCCCCCACGTATGAAAAAGGGGTATAGGGACTTAAATCACAAAAACAGAAGTTTTAGACCATGCACTGAATTGAAACGGGATGCGCAATAAAACCGAATTTCCGACTCTGACGCCTGAGTTTTTTTAGCTTTTTGGATACCATCATATCTTAGTATGTTGTGGAATAAGATAAACCCTAGAATGTACATTTTATGACAATTATGTAGGGGGATAAAACAGGACTTTTTTAGCCGGGTGAGTGGGATTTTTGTTTTATTCCGGTAGAAAGACTGAATTATACCTAGACTTAATATATTTTACAATTCTTCTCCAATGTCTCATGTAGTTATAATACAAGCTGGACCTGTTTTGTTTTCAACTTTGTATTGAATGTTTATAAATCACTCTAAAAAAAGTTGTATATTAGGTATGAAAGGTTATTCAAAAGTAACACACAAAGAAACTGCCTCTTTAACGTCAGTTTATGAAATCAGCAAAACTCAATTGTGTTGAAATTGTATAAGCGCATCGACCATGAATTTTTTTTTTTAACTACCAATGAAAACCATGAATTTTATCATCCCACTATATTGGCAACCCTGAAATTGTTGGCTACCTGAAATATCTTTAATTTGTCTTTCATACAATACATATCCAGTAAAGCAATGCTTCTGTAAACTGTATTTCCAGAACATGACATGAGTGGCAAGTATTGATGTCCTTCTTCAATGTCAAAAAGCTGTTAGTATTCATTGGCACTAAAATCTCATTATTCTCGCCCTGACAAGCTGTGAAGGTATCTCAGAAAACAAACCCAATGTTGACCTTTAAACTAAAATTATCTTTTTTTAAGCAAACAGAATTTTAAGAAACAAGTTTTGGAAGTCAGGTTTTTTCATACCCCTCTGGTCCAATTAAAAAATATATATCTTATAAGCAAATGCGGTAAGGGTCCTTACCGTACTTCTCTGTGCCACAGTAAAGTTTGTGTAAATGAAAGTTTCTATCCTTTAGTCCAGTACTGCTTAGTACCTTTGATCTTTTTCCCATGTATTATGCAGGTGGAAAAAGCAATATTGTGGAGACTTAACGCAGGATAGTTTAACACTCTGTATAGGATCACTGGAAGTCTTATTGATTATTGCTTTTCTGTAAAGTGTTCTATTCTATAAATTTACACAGTTAAAGGCTCCAATCTGAGGATAATTGCTCAAAAAAAAGAACAAGAACACCACTAGTGCAAGCCAAATAAAAATGTTTTAAAGTTTATTTTCTGTTACATTTCCACTTTCGCTCAATTTCACTTGCACCAGCCGCTCCATCACTGAGCCATGTGGCAGATTTGTTGTTCTTCGTCGGCTCCAATAATAAACGGTTTCTCTCGGCTATTTCTGTTCCTTTGTGATCATTGTTTACATCTCTTGACCCGATCTAATCGACTGAAACTGACTGTGTCATTCTTGTTGCGTTCAGTTGTGAAAAACATATTTTTTATGTTAGTGCTGGGTCTTTAATTTTATCGTTTTAGTATTTATTTATAGGTATATAGCTTAATTTGAATTGTGTTATGTTTTAGATGCTTTTGAACATTGTTGTTCCCAAATAGAGTTCAAAGTCAATTTATAATTTTGTACTTTCGTCTAGAACAAAACTAATTTAAAAAAAACTACAAACATACCGGTACCTAAATTTGAAAAAAAATTATAATACAAATAATTAATAATTTTATAATTTATATACACTCTTGAAGGAAAATATTTGCGACAAATATTTTTCCAAGCAAGACGACCCACCTTTATCAACAGGTTCTCACAAAGTTATCACAAAATCGTGCCAACCCAGTAATTTTTCAATATTTAGAAACGGGGGCAGGGTTGATTGTAATTCTGCCAGTAGAACCGCGTCGCCTTTCTTGGGACTTCTGAAAATAGCTAGGTGGGGAGGGGGTCTGGAGGGGAGTTATTTCGGTCGGGGAGTTGCCGTGCCGGGGGGTGACAAGGGGACGAGGGGGGTGTAGGCGTTAGAGAACCTACAACGCCCGCGACTGCTAACGTTTCACTACTCGTCCGGGCTCTTGTGAAGGAACACGTAATGCCTACTTACGCTCCTTATGACACTAACATGTTGTACTTAGCGCTTCAGCCACCTGCTACTCACATGTATTACGCTTTCATTACGTATTTGTTATTGTTTTTGTTTACAGTGATACGTACTGTACTTAGTCTATTCTTGCTTTACATTCTAAAAGTGAAACTAAAACAATTTCCAAAAATATTGTACCTAATTTATTATTGAATATTAATATTTTATTTAGAATTCAGAATAGTTTAACTTTGTCATTTTGTGTACAGCGTAACATTTTTAGTAGTATATTTTAAGATTTTTTACAATAATATTTTACAAATGTATTTGAACTATTTTCTGGAATTTCCAATGATTTAAAATAGGCTTTAAGTAACCTAACCTTTTGCATAGTACAAACTATTTGTCTATATTTAAAGCCTGACAGTGTGGTTGGTTGGCAGGTTTCATCATCCCCCGCTACTGCTCGATACACAGAAACTACTACCACCATCACAGAGTCAGCCTACGCCAAGCCTTCCCGCAGCAAACAGAAGCAGTTGGATTGTATGCTCGGCAGCTTACAGGCAGACATGAGTAGACAGGTATTTTAACAACTTTTGATTATTTTTTTGTTTTGAAATCAATTCTAAACCCTCAAAGGAAAGTAGTTTAAAATCATGTAACTTTTTGCATGGTTTTAGTCTTTTAAGCACTTGCACTAAACCTAAACTCTTTAAAAAAACTTTCATAAAAATGTGTTTTGAATCTTGTCGGATTATAATGTGTATTATTACTACTGAAACACAGAAAGATTTATTTTTTATTTTTATTAAATCAGTTTTCTTTGTAATTTTAAAACATACAGTTAAGAAATAGTCTGGATCGTATTTTTCATATTTATATATTTTAAAACTATTGTTACTTATTCATAATAAGTTTCCTTGAAAGTATTGCAAAATAGCAAGTACTCTGTCAATAAGCTAATGGATGTAGTATTCATTGGACTTTTGGATCAAGTCCAATATCACTTTTACACTAAAACTCTTTTAACTATCTAACTTCACTTTCTTTTAATTAGAATATACTCTGAAGGATCTTTTGCACTCCTCAAAAATGCATCGTAATGTATGTCACTTATATTTTTTTGAACAAACTTTATTAAATTTCGATTGAGTGATGTCAAAAGTTGTACAACTTTTCGTGTTCTTGATATATTGTTTACTTGGATGTTTGTTATTCGCCCCAGGGAGTTAACACTACACAGAAGGGCTGCTGCAGTGCCTGTGACAAGCCCATCGTCGGTCAAGTGATCACGGCACTCGGCAAGACTTGGCACCCGGAACACTTTGTGTGCACCCACTGCCAGCAGGAACTCGGCACCCGGAACTTCTTTGAGAGGGACGCACACCCGTACTGCGAACCAGACTATCACAATCTGTTCTCCCCGAGATGTGCCTACTGCAACGGACCCATTCTCGATGTAAGGACTGGTATATCCTGACTATTCCCAATCAGAAACTGTGGTTGAAGATAGTAATTTTAGCTTATTTATTTACTTCTTTTCGTATGCTGGACTTTGTTATTGTAATTTAGCATGCGCAATGAGATTCCAACACATTTTTAGTTCACGTTTGAAGTACACAATTCCAGCATTAGTCATTTACAATGTCAATATGTTAATTTCCTAAATGTTGAATAAAATTTACTGTTAAAGTTGTTGGCTTAAAGTATGCTTTTAAGGATTCAAGTCCTTAAAAGCCCCAATTAGCTCTCCAACCACCGAAATGTCCTGATCAGGTTACTTTATCACAGATTGTATAACCTATTTCAACCTAGGTCATTCATTTTTCCAAGAGCTTAAATTTGATGAACTGAGATGAGCGTACTAAAAAAGGCCAAAAGATCAAAGTAGCAAGGACTACTAGAAAACAAAACTCATCAAAAAAGTATCATTGGTATTAAATCAATTTTCCTATCCAATAAGACTGTTTTTGCAGAAATGTGTGACCGCCTTGGAAAAGACGTGGCACACGGAGCACTTCTTCTGCGCCCAATGTGGTAAGCAGTTCGGTGAGGAAGGGTTCCATGAGCGAGAGGGCAAGCCATACTGCCGGGACGACTACTTTGACCTGTTCGCTCCTAAGTGCGGTGGCTGCAACCGTCCAATCATGGAAAACTATGTAAGCGCTCTCAGCTCACAATGGCACGCTGACTGCTTCGTCTGCAGGGTATGTATAGTTCTTGGTTGGTGCTTGGTGGTAGATAATTCACTTGTAAAAGTTAAAACATTTACTGTCCAAAAGGTTGGATAGTAATTTTCCTTATTTTAGTAAAAGATTTGTTTGAGGGTAAACTTCAGTGAATAAAGTTACAGTTACCCTTTCAGAAGACTTTGTTTTTTGTAATTGGGCTATCTAAATTGTTTTATTACTAGATTTTGACATTACCAAATGAAGTGAAAACACAACATTACATTATGAACTGTATTTCTTATATAGTTGTCTTCACTGTTCATTCTAAGGTAAGTGAGGTAAGTCAAATGTATCTTACACCAACACACTCTAACAACACAGAACATTCTGCAACTGTTCACCGAGCCGAGGAAATACTAACCTATTACCAGAGTCAGCTTGGGTTGTGTGAGAGTTATGACCGTTGTCTTACGATGTATATAATCCTCAGGATTGTAAGAAGCCAGTCACAGGCAAGAGTTTCTACGCCATGGAAGGGAAACCAGTTTGCCCCAAATGCGTCGGAGTAGATGAAGAAGAAGAAGACTGAGTTACATTTTTATTGTTATGATTTTCCTTTCACCTTCTCCACTCCTCCTCGCCCAGTCACCATATTTATGTCCGATCTTCGCTTCTCCTGAGTTATTAATATTGTTAATATTTATATTATTTGTATTGTTGTTTATAGAAAAATAAATATTTTTACTGTTTGAGTAAATATTATTTATTTGTTTTTAGTTTAAGGTGTTTTGAAACAGGGTAGTACAAAGTTGATGGAAGTTCTATTTAAAATGGAAAGTAATAATTATAAAAAAAATTATTTCCAACTGTTTTAATTCAAAGAATATACAGATTATTAAGTGTAAACTTGATCATGAATGTTAACAAATAAAAATTAAAACTTTTACAAAAAAAATTTATCCTGGTAAAATATTTATGATAATGAATACCTAATATATTTTTTATTAATTTATAATAATGATGAAAACACTACAATATAAACAGTAAAAAGTGAAAGATTTGGTAGAATCTATTGACTTTGCCTGTTTCACAAGTCACAAGAAAAGTAGGTATATTATTAATGTATTAAATTTGACTTACAGTATCTAAAGTTTTTAAAGATATATGCTCTTGAAACATTTTCCTCTTAATATCAACAATCATAAATATTGTAGAGCTTCAATATCAAACACAAATTACATTTTGATATTGTTTTGTTGGTTGGTCCCACACCAACTGTAAGTATTCAACAAAGAGAAAAATTTAATAACGATTATTTTTTATGATACTAAAAAAAAACACAATAATTGGCGCAGTGCAGAAATTGTTTCAAAAGAATAAAACTCAGTAAAATATAAATCATTTTGAATTTTTATTAAAAATTAATTAACTGTAGGAAAAGTGAAATTTTTCGTATGTCCATGCAAACTTCAAGTTATAATACATTAAAACTTCTAACATAGCTAGTGAGGAATGAGTAACGTTGAGGTTGGAGCTTCTCGTTAGATGGTCAGGTTCAAATCCCTCCGATCACCAATGTCTTTTAAAGCAGGTGTAACTGTCCAAAAACAAAGTATAGGTCTGCGGGACAAGCAGACCTTTCCCTATAGTGGATAACGCCCTCCAATAGAAGCATTGTGAAATTTGGTTCAAATTGTTAAGTCCAGTTGGTCTTTAAAGTCTTATTCATTGACAAACGTCTAGTAAACGTTTCTTTCCTTATTTAGTTTACGAAACATATTTTAAAATATTAGTCAATAAGCTGTTTAATGAGGTAGATCAACAAAATATATAGCTTTTGTTGTCCTAGTACTTTAGGCATTACTTTCGGGTCGTTTTTGTCATTACTTCAGGCTAGACTTAGGGGTTGTGGCATTAACACTTGGTAAAATCCATTGGTGGTTTTGAGGGATTTGAACCCGGGACCTAAGGGACCAAAATGTTACACTCTACCAGACTATCCCACTTGCAGACAAAACTTACATTATCCAATTCAAGCAGGCCTACCACACTTTTTTACCAAGTTTCCTTACAACAAGGAATATTTTAAGGCTCAAAAATGCATATGAAGATTTTAATCCACATCATATATAAGTTCTTTGTTTATCCATACAGTACTTAAAAAAAAAAAAAAAAAAAAAAAAAAAAAAACTGATGTCTTGAAATATACAAACTTTGATGGAGGCTCCAATCTCAGTAACCATGACCTAGCTAAGGTCAATTATTTAAGAAGTTTTGGTTAGTCAAAACTTTTACAGTTTGATTTAATGATGTTTGAAACTGTATTCAATTAAACATTTCTTACAATAAAAAGCAAAACTAGTTAAAATTGTAAATTTAAATTGATGAAAAGCCCCATTTCATGACATCTTGTAGGCTTCTTTGTTTAGAAAGACATTACACATAACCACTGTCCATTAACAAGATTATACACAAATTTAAGACCTTAAAATATCAAGTTATCTAATTTACAAGACCATGCATTGTTTGACTTAAGTGAAACAGGTGTTACTTTATTACTCGTTTTGCGGATTTTCTTTATATTAACAAACCTTTCTTTAACATTACAAAACTGTTTCACAGATTTCATTAGAAAGGCCTTAATTCTCAGAAAAATTGCACAAGTAGGATGGTTAGAAATGCAAAAGGTATTTTACTATTCTTTAAAATTAGTTAAAATTAAATTATCATAATGGCAACACAGTTGTATAGTTGTATAGTTTATTTCTGAATAAATTGGTACAAGTTCCATTTCAGTTGAAGAGGCAATGAGCAATATATGTTTGTGACATTGGTTTATTTATTTAATATTTATCGGTACTTATTAGGAGTTGAATGAGAAAACTAAAGGAAGACATTTAGAGTATTTTGTCAACCGAATCGGCAAAAGAAATTCAAGAAAGTCTTGAAGCTATAAAAAAGACATATGATGATGTCATGGATTTCAAAAGTCAAAGAAGATATGAGAGTTACTTGTGTCAATTAAGGATTTGCATGATAAAAGAAGCAAAAGTAAAACTAACAGATTTTAAGATAATTAAAATGTATATAGTCAATGATTAAAATCAAGATTAACAGAAGAAAAAGACAAGTGATAAAAAAAGAATCCATATTCGATAGAATGGAGTAGGATTAGGTTGAGAAAAGGTGAATGAACTCTAAAACAACAGACTCTACAGTGGCCAAAAGCGGTCTTAAAATAATATTATAGGTAAATTGCAGAAACCAATTAAATTACCCATCTGAAACCCCTTTCAAAATATAACATTTCTATTTGTAACTACAGTACTATGAATAAAACTTTCAATTGCTATAAATATTATCTATATCTATACTATTATATAAAAATCTAATGGTGTCTGTCTGTATGTGTATTACTAATAGGTGCAAAAACTACCGAACCAACTGGGCTTAAATTTTACAAAAATATAGCTATCATACCAATAACCATTATAGGACTATTCACATTTCGATACTGACCGTAGGCTTTGCCCCTTTGGCTTTAAAAGTTCTGAGGTGAACATTTTAAAAGTAAATATTGATTGGTCTCCATGGCTGCGATGATAACTCTAAAAATGTTTGTTTACATTTGCTTTGACATTTAAATGTAAACAAAAAGAACTGCTAAACTGCATATTTCACAATTTCAGACAGCTGATTCAAAGAAATTAAATATACTATTTTCCATAACTAATGAGGTAGGCTTATTAATCTAACCTTTTATCATGGATTATTTATTCTAAAACAATGTCAATCATTATAGAAAAAAATATTCTATAACCGTTGCTGTATCAACTCTGGCTCTGCTTTAGATTTTTTAAAGCGTCTAAGTTATGAAAATAATGTTATTGATATGTTTTTATGGAAACAGTATGAAAATTACAATGTATAGGCTAGATGTTTTGTGTGAATTTGGAGGCTACTTTAAACAAATTCTAACTGCTTAACATGTGTTTGATTAACTTAACATAACTTGCACATCACATTGTTTTTTATATGTATATTTAGGTAAAGTTATTGTGTTTTGCTAAACCCATGCTTCAATTAAACTAAAGAATATCATCAATAAGTAAATTGTACGTTGATTTTTGTTTTCTAAAATATGTTGTATATGTGTAACTATATTTAATTATCAAATGGTAGTACAAAATACTTTTATTTTATATTAACATAGCTTTCAGTTAACATTTACTTTATTTGATACATTTATTATTTGTGTTTTGCCACACCACTGATTAAATTAAACCAAGGAAAATATCATAAAACTAAGCAGTACCATTGACTAAAGTTGATACAGTTGTTGTATTATTAGTCAAAGGCAGTACACAGTGTTCTTTTGTTTCTAAAATCAATGAAATATCTGTTAGTATGTTTACTTAATGGTAAGTGTGAAAATGTAAAGGCAATGGTCTATGAAAGAAGGTCTTAAAAGAACTGTTTTGTATATTAAGTTGTTTGTTGATATTTTTGTATAGTAGAATCAGAGATGCAATGCAACATATACTGTATTTGCTATTACATTTTTTAGTTCTTGATACTTTGATAACCATATTAGATTTGTCTCCTGTCTTTAATGCTAAATAATTTGTTTACAACTTTTTATAGTAGGTACCTATATATATATAGTTTCTTTAATATTTCAAAATACTGTATTGATAAGGAACAGCAATATTTCTAAGGCTTATAACAGCTGACTTAGTTTTGCTAATGATTTATTGTGAGTGAAGAAACTGAAGATGGAAGGATTTGTGATTTAATATAAAGAAGAGTGAAATTTAAAAAAATGTTCATTTAAATTTAATAATTAGTGTTTTTGCAACTTCAAAATTGAAATTTAAAATGTCAATAATAAATTAAAAGATATGTAATTAAGGGAGATGAAGGTAAATCATGTATGTAAAAGTTTTATTTGAAGATTTGGTAAGTTTTTTCTCACATCAGCCTAGATAAGATTTAAAATTAATCAAAACCAAAATGGTGGTATCCACTACTTACCAGATTTAAAAGTCATAACTTAAACGTTTCTATTAAGGCTATAAAAGTTGAATTTTGTTTCTAAAAGGGTTGGCAGATGTGTAACTATTATATGCAACAGATATAAAGATTAAAATGTTTCCATTTTGTGTCCTCTTCCCGTTGCAAAGCACGGGTACAACAGCTAGTTTTTGATAAAAGATTATTTTTATAAAAGTTATACCTTAAGTATTCCTTTTGAGGAAGTGAAACTTGGAATTTCCGTTATATTAAAAAAAGCAGCTATATATTTTTTAAGGTTATCAAGTTCATTTATAATTAGCAGGATAATTTGTACATTAAAACTAAACCATTTTTGTAGAATAATGGGAATGTTTGATACAAATCTATTTATTATGTTGCTGACAGATTGTTTACCAATTGCAATGAAAATACACACTCAAAACTCATGAAGCACCAAAATATACTCTATATTGGACAAATAAATCATACCTTAAAACTGTATTCAGCCGATCCATAAGGATAATTTATGTATATGGAACTACTAGCAGAGTGCCCGTCCTTCGTACGGGGTTGGCAAATAAGTATAAAATGCTTTTTGCAGTGTGCTCATGCTTTGCGTTTGCAATGGGGTAGGAGACAGTTTGATAAAATTTGGTTCTTTAAATTTGCTGTATAGCCTACTATAGTATTACACATCTACCATAGCCATAATGTTCTACCACTTCCACTTCACCAAAGCAATAGAGAAAACTGAATTATAAAAATTCGCAAATTATCACTAATCATTCATGAAATGAAAAACATAAACATAGCTGTTAACAATCCTACTTTGACAGGTCTCATTGCGTATCACAGTTTTTTGTTGCTGCTTAGTTCAAATTAGCTGTTCTCATAAATGCAAACAAAATAATAGTGCTGCTCCTTTTTGGTAAATCTTATAACTTTTTAATGCTTTTGCATATCATAGAACCAACTTTTTTAGTTGAAACAGATGACTAAATTCTTTAATTCCCTTTAAATATTAATACTCATAAGGTTAACATGGGGAACTACAGAGCCACTGGGGCGGAGCCCGAAAGGATTTTTGAGATAAGAATATGCCTATATGTTAATCGGGAATATCAGCTATCATCATGAAAATTTTCAGCCCAATCCGTCCATTAGTTAATGCGTGATTGAACTTCAAACAAATAATCAAACAAACATTCAAACACACAAACTTTCACATTTATAATATAATATTAGTATATGATATATAATCTGAGACATAAAACATGTACCTATTCTTCATTTACAGATTACAGTTAATTTCTTGCCGAAGTTTATATTGCTGCCAGCTGATGACGAATGTTCTTTGATCTGTTTTGGTTTGCAGTTTGCACTCGTTGTTGATCTATTTACATTCAACCTTGGTTTGCTTTCTTAGTTTTCCGCATCACAGCTGTGCAGGTGCACGGAGTTGTATTTTCATAATATCTATAGTTATTTAATACGCAAGCAGGTTTTTTGTGACAATTACTCCTCCGAACCTACTGAACCGATTGACATGTTTTTGGTGTCATTGAGAAAGACGTGAATTTGTGCAGGAAACTTTCTTTTTAGGGAAATAATTAGAGAGTGAAGCCCTGGGGCCCTTTAAAGTTTTGTATTTCTCCATAAGATTAACATGGGAAACAAAAATGTTTATGAAACTCCAGCTGTTGTCAGAAATTAAAAGTGAGAAGAAGAACATAATTGTAAACAGTCAATAAATTTGCTAATTTAACAGTTTGCTACAAAAATGTACCGACTTGGTTGAAATGAAATATTTACTATTTGAATTTGGGTTGGTGTAAATATTACAATGGAAAAAGCGAGAGAGCCTGGATAAATTGATATAATCTGTTATGTACATCTTGAGTATATATCCATAATTTTTGAGTCCAATCTTTTAAAGTCATCAGAAATAATGACTGTTATTCATTTTAAATAACGCCTGTAATACTTAGCAATTGCTCGAATTCGAGCAACGGGGACACTAGTTTTTATTAAAATGCTGTAATGTGAACAATTTGTACTCATAGAGATGTATTTGAACTACATTTGTAAAAAGAATGTCTTATATGTTCTTTGTTGTTTATGGTGTGATTGTTTTGTAAAGTACAGGGTGTCCCGGAACTCTCTACCAATATTTTTGGGCATTGATCCTGGGTAAGAAACGTACCTAAATATCATATTTAAATTGTCCGGAAGTCCTTAGTTACTCACACAGCCGCCATTTTGTTTTGTTTTTCAGTTATTAATTTTTTTCTAAAGAATGGTTAAACATACGAAATGGAAACTTTGCACAAACATTTATGACAACTAGACAAAGCTACAAAAAAATTATGACGATTTTTCAAATTCATAAAACAAAATGGCGGCCATTTAAAATTTTCTTTCTTAAATAACTCAAAACCCATTGCTTTTACAAAAATTTTAAATGGCCGCCATTTTGTTTTATGAATTTGAATAATCGTGATAATTTTTTGGTAGCTTTGTTTAGTTGTCATAAATGTTTGTGCAAAGTGTCCATGTCATATGTTTAACCATTCTTTAGAAAAAAATTAATAACTGAAAAAAAACAAAATGGCGGCTGTGTGAGTAACTAAGGACTTCCGGACAGTTTAAATATGATATTTAGTTATGTTTCTTACCCAGGAGCAATGCCCTAAGATATTGGTAGATAGTTCCGGGACACCCTGTATATTTGCGGAAATGTTTCACCTAGAATCTAGAATAGTAAAACAGAAGTTTTATGACATTTGTAGATCGGAATCTCTTGTCTTTAGGTCTATATTGCTAGTACTCAGAATGTAAGGTTTGTGAGTGTGTAGGGTATTGATCGAACAATGTTCATTGATCTATAATTTTTCCTTCTAAACAAATATTTGACTATTTTAAACATTTGTTTTTTACAGATATAGTTTTTTTTTTCTGGCACAGCTTGATTTATGTACTAATCTTTTTATGTTTCATGTTCTTCCTGACATCAAGAATGGGTCACATTCTGGACTCAAAAACATTATGACACTCCCGTTCCACTAATCAGTGAGAAAAAATGTTTGTATTAAACCTATATACAATAAGAGTTTACCTAATATAATGTGTTTTCTGTTGGTAGGACTGCAGGCAGCCGTTTCACGGAGGTTCGTTCTTCGACCACGAAGGTTTGCCATATTGTGAGACACATTATCATGCTAAGAGAGGGTCGCTGTGTGCAGGATGTCATAAACCTATCACAGGTATTGTAATATAACGTAACTCATCCATCTATTAGTACGATTACGATTGTCCAAATATTATACCACGGTTTTTGTTATGATCGCAGGCTTTTCTGAATGAAAAAATTCCTCTGTGGCACTTAGGAAAAACACTGTATGAAAAGATTTGAAATTTTTGGCTGACCTCAAAAGACCTGAAGACTTTCTTCCACCCTCTTTGGTTGAAAACACTGTCAGTGTCAGTATTCTAACTTAGTATATAAAGTAAAAGTATGGATTTTAAAGGTTGTACAGTTGAGTTGGTTTATTTTTCCAAAGTGAATTCAAGTACTATCTACTAACACTTGGCTAAATTAATTAAAACCTACCTTGCGTTTTATGTTACTACATCCTTAAAATATTCTAACATAGTTTTTAAATTGATTTCATTTTAAGATACACAATTATTGTTTTCATTTCAGCTCTAGTGGTAGATTTATTTTACATGTCATAAAAATTATTGTATTGAAAAAGAGTTATCATTATTATTTCTCAAATATTTTCTTGAATACAGAGTATATTGCATTTTCTTAGCTTATTAAATCTGTAGCCTATTACATTGTTAAACCTGAGCTCCACTCTAAATAAGATGCAAATAGAATCTACTCAATGAATGCAATAAGATATTATCTAATCCACAATATATCTGTTACAGGACGTTGTATCACTGCTATGTTCAGAAAGTTTCATCCGGAACATTTTGTCTGCGCTTTTTGTTTAAAGCAACTAAACAAGGGTACATTCAAGGAGCAGAACGACAAGCCATACTGCCATTCTTGTTTTGAAAAACTATTTGGTTGAAACCAACTGCGGTCTTAAATCTATAATTTTTAATAATGTAACGCAGCTTACTTGGATTGTAAAGATCCGTTTTAACACTTGAATCGTAACTCGTACAAGTAACGTTAACTTTAAGTTTGTCAAACAAACCAAGTTTGTTACTCTTACTTGTTTTGAGAACATTTTTAATTAGGTTAAGTTTGAAATGAAATTTAAGTTTAAAATTAGATATTCTTCTCATTAAAAAAAATCTTTGAAGGAAACATAACATATTATAGTAGAACCTTGATAACAAATTTCTTTGGGTATGATAAGGTAAGCATTTATTTTTATTTTACCCAGATCCATTTGTTATTTACGTTTGCTAAGTGGTTGAACTGCATGAAATCAACTTGCTTTATCAGACTAGACTATAGTCTCAATACCACCTTTCCCTCAAAATGGTCAAATGGCTTTAAGGTCCATTAGCATCTCCATAACTGTCCTCTCAAGGAGTCGGCGAGAAAAAGATAAGAAAGTTAGTGTTACTCAAAACGATACCAACAAACTACAAACATTACTTGTATCAAGATCATTTGCTATCAAGGATTTTGCAGTATCATGGAGGTTACATTTAAAGGGGTTAGAGAAATGCATTTTGTTATCTTGGTTCTGCTGAAGATTCAAAATTCCTGGATTTGACCATCACTAAGTATTAACTTAGTGATGGTCAAATCCAGGAATTTTGAATCTTAAACATTTGAGTCCTGATATTTGAAAGTAAACTTTAGCTGTAATACAGTACAGAACCTATTGTGAAAGTTGATCCATATTATTTACTGTGTAGTTATATATTCTAAAAGTTATGATGGATTTTAAAACCGGTTTCCTCCAGAATCATAGCAACGTCATGATTATCTTTCTCCCGAATACATTTCACTACCAATAACAAAGAAAAACTGACAGGCATTCAAGCTAAGGCTAGCACAAAGTACCTTGGTGTCATTATGGAATAACTCACATAGAAGCAACAGGTAACAACCCTGTGCAAGAAACCATGCTCTGGAATCAGGAGAATGATGCACATTGTGTGATCTGAATGCAACAAAAACTGCTTACCACTCTCTTCTCGAGAGCCACCTTATGTAGGGCAAAGTGGTACAGAGAGGAACAACCAATACTAATCTGGAGATGCATCAAAAAAGGGCGATAAGATGTCAAGAAAGCTGCCGTGCTGCATTTAAAGAACTGAAAATGCTCAAAGTGACATATCTTTACATATGCAATACTTCATTCAGATTCTATTTATCAAACAATAAATGAAGACTTGCACCTTTACCATACAAGAGACACTTCGAATTTCCCACTCCCAATACTCCGACTTATCCATCCTATAGGGGAGCACTGTTCAACTACCACCTTTCAAGCAACCTCAAGGGGAAAAAACGGCTAAAAAGTTAAAGAAAACCCTTACAGCATGATTACTGGATAGATTATATTACACAGAAAAAATTGTTACTAAATCAACTATAATATTTTTAATTGACACATTGTACTCTATTCTCTAAGAATATGTAAATAAAGTATATTGTCTCTAATCACAGAAACATCTGTATGCTTGTGATCATATTTTAGTTTACGGGTCTTAATAATTCATGTACATCCCGGCTAAAAATCTTTTCAGGATTTAAACTTTATATCCACGTTCCACTACCTTGAATACATGGTTGGTGGTAGCATATACAAATGGTGGTTGTAACTAAATGTAAGATTCGAGAATCAAATCTTTTCCTGAAATTCGTTGGAATTGAGATTCAGCTTTCATGCATCTCTGGTAGGCCCATCATTTATCAAAAATTTTGTAGTTGGAAGCATTTGATTGTACTTTATTACAGCGGAGTGCATTCATCCATGTACTATCTGTAATAATAAATTAATTGACAGAAAAAGAAACACCTTTAACAATTTTATTAGTGTTAGACATTTGTAATTTAACATGTGTTCATGTTTTGTTGTATTTTATTGTTGATTAATTTTAGTAATAAGGATTTGAACAGGATAAGTATAATCCATAGATAACTGTACAGATTAAACAGAACGGTGGTAATGCATGTTAAATGGTCAAGTTAACAGTGTTTACAATTGTTTTATTTTTTTTAATTATTATTATATTTATTATGTAATCAAACTTTTGCATCACTAAAGTACCCTGTATTTGAAAAATATTTTTTCTATGATTGAAAAGATAACTTGCATTTGATAAAAATGATACTATGTGTCCATTTTTACAGAACACTTTGAAACAATGTGATTTTTATCTTTTTATAACAATATATATCTTTCAATATGTTTATTGTCTTTATTTGTTTCTTTCTTTCCTGTGATCAATACTTTCTGATTCGAGGATTTGTTTTAAAGTCATAATTAAATTTAGGTGGTTTTGTTTTGGGACTAAGAAGTAATCTTTTTTCAAACCTACTTAAAAATCAAATTAAATTCAATAATATAGTATAGTAAATAATAATGTAATCTAGTGGTATGTATCATAATATCTTTTCTGTTAAAATAAGTTGTTCTTCCAAATATAGTGTTTAATTACAGTATTGTTTGATTTCATGTACCCTGAATTTAATTTTTTTTTCTACCACGTGGCAAACTCCTCTGTACGAATACCCTGTGAAATTGATAATAATTATATCTTAATATGTAATCCCATAAAAAAAATAAAAAATAAATAAACACACACTGAGATGCTCAATGCCCCCCCCCCCCCCCCAGTAGTGCCGGACACCCGCAGGCTCAATGTCACCCTGCTATTGGCTTAAAAACTCCTTGGATATTATTTTATTAAAATATAATATTTTTGGTAATACAGTAACAAACGTTGTAAAGTTAACAATAATTCATTCCTTTAAAGATTATCGGTCACAGTAGTTATGAAATGTTTCTTTCGCTTCCTTTAAATCTCATACTAACCATTATTGGACTCTGTTGTGTGTCTTCACCAGTGTCATTTTTAAACTAAGGAATCACAAACACTTACGGGAAAGCCGTAAAATCTCTTTAATTTCTTGTGGTTATTCAGAGGCCTCTCACTGATTTCCAAGACAAGTTTCATGGTTTCCTAAAACAAACCAGTGTGCTCAAATAGAAGAACAATTTTCCTATCTTGTTCTTTGGTATAAAACAATACATAGATGTTTGCGTAGTCGACAAAAACCTCTGTACAAGTCTTTATTTGACAATAAGAGAGCACCAGCTGATGCGGGTCGCCGGAATTTCATCCCCCTGGGCGAAGCTGACGTCACTATGACGTAGTAACCTGAGTGGCCAAAAGTTTGTTCGCGGCCGGAATTTCACCCCCGTGGATTTGGAAGTCTAATGAAAATAGCCAGAGCGTGATTAATTAGATTAGCGATAAAACCGGAATTTTACCCCCTGTCCATATAACTAGCGTTTAGACAACTGAAGATGTACAGGCCGGATTTTTACCCCCGGATTTTTACCCCCCGGAATTTTACCCCCTGGCCAATTTTAGAAATAGAATGATTGATTTTCTTATTTCTGTTTTTAATTAATTGTATGGATTTCATTATTTAGTAGCCTATCTTTATTTATTTATTTTGTAATCTCAACTAGGTAAGTAAAAAGAATTTGCTGTTTAATTTTGATGTTCGGGATTTGCGTTTGGGGCCAACTGTTGGTTAATAAGTATGTAAAATAAACTGAGTAGCTCATTTAAATGATAATTGGGTGAAAATTTCTTCGTAAAGAAACAATTAGGCATATTTTGTTATTGTTAAAATACAAACGAAAAACATTGTTTTAACACGGTTGTATAATAAATTGTTAAAGAAATCTTTGAATCAATTAACATCCTGATGTTTGTTTATACATCATATTAATCAACAGTTGGCTTCAAAGATTGAATCCTGCCTGATACTAGAATCTCAAAAGTCAATGGTAAAATCAAAAACCTGTTTGATTAGTTGATGTTACAAATAAATTAAAATAGGCTACTTAATAATAAAATGTTTACTATTAAATTAAAACAGAATGAAGGTAATGAATCATTCTCACTAATTTATATATCTGGCCAGGGGGTAAAAATCCGGGCCGTACACTCTACGTTTTTATAATTTGATGTGTTCTGATTAAATTCACAACCGTGAAAATATATGTTTAATTCCGCATTTAATCCATCGAGCTGATGTCACAAAACTCAAAAGTTCGCGGCCGGAATTTTACCCCCTGGTTTGTGACGTCACGTTTGTTCAGGGGGATAAAAATCTGCTACCCCGCTGAAGCTGCCTTTTGCATTCATGGTGTGAACTAATTTTAAATAACTTCTTGATCAGCATCAAGTGTTATTAATGTGTTATTAAATTACCTGAAATTACAAAAATATGTTAGATTACACTTGTAATAATATATCTACACTTACTGTTTACTCATAAGGCGGTAAATACATATAAAAGATGGTAAAGTGGTGATCGATTTTGATTGAACACTCCAATCATCATCATACCCTATTGGTGAATGTCCAACAAAATTGTATGTCATGCATTCACCTATTGGGTCTGATGATGATTGGAGTGTTCAACCAAAATAGATCACAACTTGCCAATTTTTATATGTATTTACTGTTTTGTAAATAAACAGTATAAGTGTAAATATATTAATTATTACAAGTGTTATTTGACGTATTATTTTTTTAACTTTCAGGTAACTAATTTTAGCGAATTTCCCAATAGGAAGTAGCTAACACTGAATGTGGCACAGTAAGGCCTAGACCTGGCACTGGGACTGACTTCCCCCTATAAATGGAAAAATAATACAATTTACAATAACTTTTGAACCGTAATTTTTACAGAAATGGGAGTTATACCAAAGGGCTACAACATACTAAATTTTTATCAAAATCGTACAGGCCATATTTAAAAAATTCGATTTTTCCATTATTTTATAGGATTTAGGGGAAGATTGGTACATCAAAAATCAAAATTTCAAAAAACAAATGCCTGGAGATACCACGGATTAGTATCAGAATCAGAATCCATTTATTGTCATTTGTCAACATTACATTGCTATAGACAACGTCAAAGAACATAAGAAATACAGTAATATGCAGTATAAAAGAAATAGTACAATGTACTTGTCAGACTAACATATATAACAGAGTAAAACATAACAAAGAAATAATTAACATTCAGCAATAAATTGATATAAACTACGAAAATTAACAATAAATCAACTACAACTACTCACCAAAGCATCACTAAATTAAAGCTCATAACAGATCAAATTAAAATTTATATGAACAAAATTCATCAAGAGAATAAAAAGCTTAGTAACCAGCTTGACAGTTTCAATTTAAATTGTTGAATTTCGAGGTTTCTGATCTCTTGTGGCAATATATTAAAACACTTAATTAGTAGATATTTATGGCTGACTATTGTTTTCCGCAATCTAGAATAGGGTGGGACAATATCTTGTGCTCTTCTGGTGTTATAATCATGGACCTTGTCAAAACATATAAAGTCACTCTGGTTTTCCTTTACATGTACAAGATTTTGAAATATAAAAATGCAAGGGACAGTCATTATATTGTAGTTAATAAACCATTGCTTACAGTCATCTTGATAAGGTAAATTGGCCAAAATCCTTACTGCTTTTCTTTGCCAAGCAAAAACATGAAGAGCACCACTACTATTTCCCCAGAGCATTGTGGCATATAACAAATGGGAGTGAAAATCGCTAAAATAGGTATTTAACAACATATTTCTGCCAACACATTGTCGAAGCTTGCGTAATAAAAAACAGGCCCTTGAAAGTTTAGAAACTACTGAGTTGGTATGAGATTCCCATGTAAGCTTCTGATCTAGAGTGACACCCAGTAATTTAACAGGCTTTTTTTAAGTAAAACAAATTGTTTCAGTCTTCTTGGCATTGACTGTAAGGCAGTTAGCATTAAACCAAGAACTGGCTAATTCCATTACTCTGTCACTGTGTGCTTTTACATTTTTTAACACTTAATCAGTAATTATAAAAGAAGTGTCATCCGCATATAAAATGGTTTTGCAAGGGATATTGCCAGGCAGATCATTTATATAGATTAGAAACAGTAGTGGACCCAGAACTGACCCCTGTGGAACCCCAGCAAGGACCTCCTGAAAAGAGGACTCAAAGCCTGCCGATGAAACCTTGTGCAATCTGCCACAGAGATAAGTTTTAAAGAATTGCATCTACATATCATCTATACAATAAAATTTTAGTTTGTTAAGAAGTGTTTCATGTGATATACTATCAAAGGCCTTGCTGAGGTCCACAAGAGTCATATTAACATAATCACAATTTTCAAAGCTATTAATAATACCAGTTACAACTTCATTTAACGCCTTAGTTGTGGAACGTCCAGGTCGAAAACCAAATTGGCTAGTACTTAAAACATTATGTTGATCCAGAAATCCTAAAAGTTGGTTCTTTACACATGATTCTATTATTTTTGAAAATACAGATACAGTACATATTGTTCTATAGTTATCAATACATGATCTGTCACCCTTTTTGAAAAGTGGTATACTCTTGGACATTTTTAAACAATCAGGAAAAAAGGAGCAACAGAAAGAAAGATTGATTAAATAAGTTAAAGGTGAAACAATATTAGCTGCAATATGTTTGATAACTCTGTTACTAAAACCAAAAACATCTTCACTTTTAGAAGGCTTTAGAGATCTTATTATTTTAAGCACTTCAAGCTCACTAACATAATGCAAGTTAAACTTCTCTGGAGGCTGGTCTATGTTGTTTAAAAAGGTACAATAACTTAAATTACCTGTATTTATTAATGTAGTACTATCAAGTACTTTTTTTCCAATACTTATATAGTGATCATTAAATTCATTAGCTGAAATAGGTGGAATTGGATTTTCCCGCTGATAGTAGTTACCAGCTTCTGACTTAATTACCTGCCATGCAGCTGAACACTTATTCTTAGAACTTTTTATCCTGTTTTCATTATGCATGATTTTGGCCTCCTTGATTTTGGACCTATACATTTTCTTTTTCTCTATGTAGTAGTTTTTCAGTGTCATGTTATGACCCATTATTTCGAACTAGATTTTTACCCTGATTACAAAGCCACAAACCGTTTTTTAAAATCTTGATCCGTTTTAAAGTTATGAGGGCTTTTTATCACTTTATTTTTAGCCCTGTATTAACATTGTGCATTTACAAACTAAGACCTTATAATCTCAAAATAGTGCTAGATAAAGATAAGTATACACTACCAGTCATTGTCGACCTATTTCCACTTGGTTATGATGGATGTATTTTTTTTGCCGCCATATCTTGGATCCGCTTGGATCGGTCGGGCCGTTTTTGAGAAAATCCGATTTTTCCGTTATTTTATGGGCTTTTATGGGAAAATCACCATTTAAAAATAAAAAAAAGTGAAAAAACGCCTGGATGTACCATGGATCAAAATTCATCAAAATCGGACCGCAGGTGTGGCCTGTATCTACACATCCACAAACACACTTCAAAAACAACTTTTTGGAGTCCAGGGAGAACCAAAACAACGGATATATCCACTCAACAGGGCTGGCAAGAGCCGTCACGGGCCCCGTGGAAAGAGTATACAGTAGAAAAGATTTTACATTTGACCAGGCCGGGCCCCCTTCAGAGCCTATGGCCCCCGAAACTCTGGCCCCTCTAGCCGGCCCTGCCACTCAAAACTCAAACTCGAAAATTTTGACGAAAACAATATTTTCTCCATATGGTATAGGGGGAGTAATCAATGGATTTATCTTATTCACCATCGTATTCAACGCAGAGTGGCCGAATCCATTATTGCCGCATATGTTGCGTTGTATCACAAAAAACATTCTACTATAATAGTAGTGGTTATTTGCCCTCTATGACTGGAATACCATTTATATCGGTTCCAGACAAACTATAAACAATAAAATGTTTAACTCATATTACAAATGTTTTTTTTTTACAAAAATACTATAATTATAATTCTTAAATATGTTTTATACTTTTCGTAGGCCTACATGATTTTTTGCGTTACCATAACGATCTAGGAAACCCCTCTCCATCCTCGTAACGTTAGCCAAACCCCCCTCCTTGAGCGTTTCGTAATAAAATATGGAGGGTCCCACACATTTATAAGAACTATTCAAATTATTTATTATTTTTATATCTCGATGTCTATAATTTAATGTGTTTTGTCACTAATCCTCATAAATGGTTAAGAATGCATTAGGTCTCTAAATCTTTAAAGCAACCAGAATCAACAAAGATTACTTTTTGCTAAAATCATCTAAGTGATCAGTTCTCACTTTCATATATGTCAAAATTACGAAAGTTGTCATAAAAACACATTTTATTATTTTTATTTTATGTTGGTAGACTTGCCAGGTTTAGCGCAGCCTTCCATCCATATGTGAAAAGTGCTGTTTTGTTTGTAGCATTAAATTGTGAAGATAACTGGAAGAATCTGGAATACAAAATACGTAATAAATAATAATTGCTCATATATTTATGTGTATGGTTCTAGTTTATTTTAATTTACTCTCCATGAAGTATGCGCCATTAACATGGTCAGTATTGCCATCACTGCTAGGAGCTAGGTTATAAAAATAAGATTTTTCTTAGTTTTTGGTTATCTTAAACACTGTTTTTACAAGGAACACAATGATTTTCTAAAAGAAACCGTGGTATAATATGTTTTAATAATTCATTTTAGACGATTTAACGTCATAATTTTTGTTTAAATACCATTTTTATTCGTTGAAACCCTAATTTACATGATTCGAGGGCGATCAATATGAAGACGTAGCAGGAGGGTTAATCCTTGTCTAGTGACGAGCTCCTTCTACTTCAGCACCTATGTTTGATTAAAATCATGATTACTTTTGGTAATGAACTGATGAAGTTTCCTTCCAAGGTACTTTAGACTAATTACAATATACATGTAGTAATTTAGCATTAGTGTATTAGCAGAGGCACTGCAATGCCTGTTTAAACTGAGTCATGGGTTCTCATCTCAGATCTGTGTAATACTGACATTATAAGCCCTAATTTTTCCACTTAACTGATATAAGTTTATTCAAGGAGTTAGGTAGGACTTCAGGACTAGTAGGCCCTACTTAGTTTATTAGGCCTAAGTAAAGATAAATTGTATGGTTTAATTTAGGTATGTAACTTTCTTTTCATCAATCTACTTAGCTTACTTACAATAATCATTGTATGATCAGACAAGAACCTATTTAAGTTATTTTTCTTCGCTCATTAACTTTACAATGACAGCCTAGCATCTGGAGTATTTCCCACTGAAAGATTTGGCACAGCTCGGTTTATGCAGGGCAGATCTTCGTACAGTAAGTTTAAGTAAGTAATTTTAGTAACTTATTTTACAAAATCTTATATAGGCCTAATCACAGCATAGCTTATTCATCCAAAGAGCAATGACATTTTATCTACCTAATCTAGAATTTAATGAAGCCTCCGATTGTATCAGATTCAACGATCTGTTGGCCAAATTAGAGGGCTATGGCGCAGCCAGAAGCCTGCTGAGGTGTTTTGGATCGTATCTCTAAGACTGTACCGCTATGATACGGTGTTATAGGGTGTTTGAACACCGTGTGGCCTAATCAGTCAAGTTTGCATGGGCCAAGTCATTCCCTTTTCTTTTACGCTCATCAGATCTGGGTACATTTCTTTTAGCCTAAATATATTTTTCAACAATATTGTGGATTCAATTGAATCTGAGTGCTTGCTTAAATAATATCAAGGGTTTTTAAATTTCCTGAGGCCGACTGTTTCTCCCTTTAGCAATGTTTACGCTCAATTGATAACTTTGGTGTCCCAGCAAAATTACATCGATGTTTCAAAATCTGCTGTTGTATCTTAACTTATCATGTTCCTAGCGTAGGCCTATTTACTACACTTCTACATGATAAATAATGCCACCCTGCTTTGGAAGGGTAGGCCTACCAGGATGATCTAGGAGTTTTAATGACATTTTTTAAACCCTGACTATCACATAAATTCACTCTGTAAGAAAGTCTCGGCAATTATTCCTTATACTCCATGGTTCGTCATTATATGTGGTGAATATGGACTGGACGTAGATGCTCTGAAAACTCTCTACATGACTCAAGTTAAGCCTGCACTGGAATATGGTAGCTTGATACGGAACCCACATCAAATCAGCCATAGGCTATACCAACTGAGTAGAAAAATTCAGACTCATTTTTTGTGCTCTATTGGTGTCAAGTTGGGCCATAGTTTCTATGCAGTAGGCCTACGCTACGGATTGAAGAAATTTGCATTGGTATGGGCATTCCTCCACTGATCGGCAGTAGACAATCTCCAGACCTGTCTTTTCGTTTGGAAGTTGATGAATTGAATGGTGAAGTTGATACACCTGAAATACTTTGCCAAATACGTTCCTTGACACACTAGGCACATTCAACTCTTCAGCAGAGCTCATTTTCTTTTTTCATTCATAATTTGCCTCCAGGATTGATTAAATGATCAAAATAATAGGTTACTAACCTGTCATCAATCAATCCTACAGTAGAACCCCTTATATCCGGCCTTGGTTTTACCGGTCCTCTGTTTATCCGGCCCCTTCCAGGAAGCCAATATCAATTTTTTTTTCTCACAGCTTACAGATGTTTAGATGCAGCCACTAGTCTTTGTGACTGCTCAAGTCATAAAATAAATTGTTCTCATTACCTGAGTCACTATACTCAGTTGAGCTAGTAGGCCTATTTTTCAGTTGGTTGATTACAGTATTTCCAAAGTGGGGTTAGTACAGTACAGTACGAGTACATTAATTTTGGTATTTCACAAAATGGTTAAGAATGTTGAGTAGAAATGCATGTACCATTTAAGTCCTAATGATCTTTAAGTACAATTTACCTCATTTACCATCATTTTTACCTCCATTTAATAGGTTTTGTTACCTGGAATCATAATATTTGTACATTCATTACTTAATGACTTTTCTAACCTACAAATATTTTTTTTTATTTTTACAAACATGTTTATTTTTCTAAAAATGATCCCAGAACAGAATTAAATTATACTTTTGATTGCATATATTGATTACCTATTATTATTAGGTATGAATTATCATTTTCATAGTAGGTTGGTTTATCCGGCCAAATCGTTATCCGGTCAGGGGCTTGGTCCCGTGGTGGCCGGATATGAGGGGTTCTACTGTATTTGTGCCGTGGATGACAAGTTTCAGGATTAAAACCACTTTTTTAAATCCTTTTCTTGTCAATTATTAAAAATAATCTTTTTTTTGCCGTTGTAAAAATTACTTCACACTTGAAAAACACAATACCGTACACAATTTTAGATTTACGAAAATATAGATAGCCTACCACACAAACGCGCTAGGCCGGCCAAAAAAAATCGGACTGAGGGGTAAGTCCAAATTTAAAAAGCTAAACCCAGGCTATCAATTTGTACATACAGTAGACTCCCTCTTTTCCGGACTCCTCGGGACCGAGGCCAGTCCGGATAACGGTATTTCCGGTTAAACCGACGTCCCCAAAATCTCATTAAAACGGACCGTTTAAATTCATACCCTATAGCCTACAGTATTTTACTTAAAATTAGGAGAGCATTGTATTTAGACACGTAATCACTGGTCTCATATCTTTCCGACGAGAACAGTCATTTCAGTACCGCCCACTTCCTGCCGATCTAATGCGGTTAAACCGATGTGCTGATAAAAATTATCCAGATAAAGAGATATCACTTCTACCGAGTGTGGTCCGGTTAAACCAATGTCCGGTTAAAAGGTGTCTGGATAAGAGGGAGTCTACTGTACCGGTAATTGTAAAGGTCACAGAAAGTAATTGTGCAAACTAGAGGTCTCTATGTCAATCCTATAAAAAGTTATGGCATTTTCAGAGTTTCAATGTTTTTCAAAATACTCATAGGTGCCACAAAATAATTTCTTCCTTATCTTCATCTGATCAAACAATTTTTTTGGGTTATAAATTACCTATTTTTCCTAAAATAATTGTTAATACACAAACTACCCTTTGTGCTTCTCTTGGAAGTGTAAAATAAGCTCTACTTCAATTTGGAAAGTGTCGCGGCCAGGAGCAAACTAACAGAGCTGTTATCTCGAAGTGAGCGCCTGGCAAATGAGGTCAAGCAGGGTCGCTACCCTTGCCCCGTCACCTCGGACAGGATTCAACCTGTGCGACGAAACTGCCTATGACCTTACAAGCTTGGTTAGTCCTATTACCTGGCAACACTTGCCCTTGTTTTGGTAAGTGTTGAGCTCCCTTCCTCTCACAAAACTTACCGTATTTTCAAACGCCCTGATTTGTACTCCAGAGTTATGGGGTCCATTTGGCATTTGGTTCAGTAATCTCTCAGTAAACTGTTTAAATTTAGATTCAAATCCTGGATCTGGGTGCATTTTATAACCTTAACTTATCTTTGTGATTTTCATATTTCTAGGATGACTGTCGAAACTCGTTAGAAGCACTTGAAAAGCTACTAAACGAGTTTTTCAGTCCTGGAACATCCAACGAGAGACAACGAGAATTAGAGAATATCCTAAGTACTTTCTCCGGCAGACCAGAATCATGGAGGTTGTGTCTCCAGTTTTTGACATTAACCAGCAACCAGTATGTTGCCATGTACTGCCTGGCAACTATAGAGGTAATTGGATCAGCAAATTTCCAGATAGAAATGTGTTCTTTTTTGTTAGCTAGAAAAGTATAAAATGTTAGTATTTATTTAATAAACACTAGAGGTCGTCCAGTGGTCGAAACTCGACCAAAATTATGTATTGAACAGACTTCTCTATTTTTACACCTCACTGTAAATAAAACTTGTGATTGGAGTTTCTTCCATTTGTTTTGATTTTCTGTTTATATTTTGTTGTTATTTCGTCACCATCCATGGCAACCCATAAGATCCATGTTAATTTTTAAAAATTTTAAACTAATTTGTTGTGCTTATTTTTGAGTCTATTTTAATTTATAAAGGTATCCTGCACACCTACAGGAAAATAGCTTTCTAACAGTATGCGTAGATTTTCCCTACGATGCACACGAGCTGAGAAAAAAGGTTATAAAGAAACATGCTTGCCTATTAATATATAGATGCCTCAGACATGAATTTTAAATTTTGATATCTTTTATAGTTATTTATCTCCTAAATCCAAAAATACCATTATTTTTTTACTACAAAGGTGTCCATATCGGGGCTTTTTGGCTTGCCCTTTTGATATCTCAGACTCTGTCAATCTTCAGTTGCCTAATAAACTGAAGCATCCTGTTTGTAATTGCTCCTTGTGAGGCAGCATCCTTAATCCTACATCCAGGATACTTAAACAATTTTTAAATATAAAGAAGTAGACTAATGTTATGATTTATTATTTCCAAACATAATTTACTGCACTCACTGAACAACATTATACTGAATAATACAGATTTATTGGTCCAGAATGATCTTATGCTTTTTCTCCTGTTCACAGTCTGTGATAACCAAGCGCTGGTTGGTACTACTGACAGAGGAGAAGTCAGAACTAACATCTCTACTGTACAAACATCTACTGGCTCGACATACAGAGTTCCCTCACTTCATACGCAACAAACTGCTCAAACTTATAGTAGACATCGCACGTTATGACTGGCCGCACTTTTATCCTGACTTCTTCATGAATATCTGCAAAGTGAGTCTAATTTGTTTGTTGGCGGTGGAGCACACGGAAGATTTCACAGGTGCCGTTTGACGTCACTAACTGCTGTGTCTGAAGAAACAGACAATTTTATAATTTTTCTATTATTAAATTAAACTGTCATAACCTAACCAAACGTGCTGATAATGGAAAAATCGAATGAAGGTTTACTAATCTAAAAATAGTTTTGTTTATAAAATAAAATTATAAATGCCTAAAATTCAACTTTATAATTTTTTAATTATAAAATTAAACTGTCATAACCTAACCAAACCAACCAAACTTGCTGATATGAAAAATTGTTGACAAAAAGTTAATGCTACCAGTGGGATTCGAACCCAGTACATTCGGATTATCAGCCCGCCACACTATCCACTACACCACCGAGGCCGATGGCTCAAACCGTATCGTTGCAGTATTGGTGTTCCGTCAAAGTGACATCAGCAGTTAGTGACGTCAAACGGCACCTGAGAAATCTTCCGTGTGCCGTTTTGGTAAATGTACCCCTAGCAAAATATGTGTATGAGGTTTTGATTAAAGGTAGGCTATTGGTTTTTCCATTAGTAAAACAATCAACAACAGCATGTCGCTATTGTTCCGAAGCTTAGTAGGCCTACCATTAAATTCTCAAACACTGACTTAGTGATCCAGCCTTGTGCTATTAAGCAGTCTGAGTAGAATAAACACATTTTGTCACTAACCAAATTTGAGAGGTTTTTATCTTCACTTATTTTAATGTGGCTGGTTAAAAGCAGTTTGAAAACCCCTAGAGTTTAATAACGCTTTATCATTGATTGGTTTTAGTTGAATAAAATCTTAGGCTGTAATCTTTAGATCAAGCAGACCTCTGATGAAAAAACAAAACAAAAAAAACAAAAGTTTTGTTGTTTTGTATAGATGATCCAAGATCCCAACACCACAGTTCTGGGGCTCAGCTTCCTTCAGACAGCCTCGGAAGAACTGATTTGTCCTCGTGAAGATCTCAGCGTTTGTCGCAAGGACGAACTCAAACGACTGTTCACTGCTCACATTCCAAATGTTTTTAAAATAATTTGCGGTAAGTATTCTAGTATGCTACATAAAACAAATGTCTTCTCATTCATCCAATATATGTTCATACTTTTTCATAAATTAATAAGAATGAGTGCTAGGTAAATGTCTGTTAAGTGTGATTATATGTGGACAACATAAATAATCAGATAGTCATAAGTAAGCTAAAAATGTTATGCTGGCTACTCTGTTTTTATCTAAGTTATCGACAATCCGAAACATATTGTACTTTTAAGGTGACAAATTACCAAAAAATGTTTGGTTTATCAATCGAAAATTATACTAAATTTCACCTATAAGCTGAGAAAATTCAACTTATTAAGTAGGCTAACATTAAGTACACATAGTTTATTGGGCGTCCAGTTTAACCATTTTAGGAACTATAAACAAAATTTAGTTTCATCGACAAAAAATCCAACAAAGTCCAGTGACCTACTTTTACCCAATGATCTAACTCCTTCACTGTAAGAACCATGGATTCAATCACCGCAAACAACACAAATAAAATTACAGTAGCCTATTGTACAGATATCAGCATCGAACTACCGGTACAGGGTGTGTCGGACTATCATGTTTGGAATTTTTTAGCGACAACTGCATTTTGTTTTCTTAAGACCTCGTAAAATTATTGATTCTGGTTCTCATGATCTTAAGTGCTTTAATAATATTAAATATCTGCTTTGGGTGTATAAGTCAAAACATTTTAACATAAATGGTTGTTTACGATAGTGATTGAGCGGGAGAGAGAGCAATAGCGGAGTTTTTGCAAAGGATAAGCGTTGACAGGGCGATATTTAGACCATTACTTGCTCCTTGACCTTCACCACGGAGGCAGGACATTGCTGATTGATAACGCCGACCTTGACCTTGTGTCGTGGACCATTAAAGCTAGACAGCTGATTGATTAAAGTTATAAGCCATGGAAGTTGAACTTTCTCCCTTTGCAAATTAAATAAAGATGAAACAGTGTTCCATTTTTGACAGAATGTATAATTTAAAAAAAGATTAGATTCAAATGGTTATAGGTACATTTATTGGCTCAAGCAGAATTTTGTTCACATTTAAATGGGAATTTGAGTTATTTTAGTTAGATTGTTTTTAAAGTGGGTTTACTATTTTAGATGCGAGTTCATTGAAGGATTTTATTTTTAAGTAAAAACTCTGTTGCTACAGTGAACTGATAACCATGAATTTAATTTTCTTTAGCTTTTGTTTTCCAATGTCAAAGTAGGTCAATGTAATAAAAAAAAAAATTCTTACATAATAAAATTAAAGATATACGTGTTTTCCTTTTGGTTCTTTTATTTTATTGGAAAGTTGTAGCCTATTTAATTTTTTTTTATTTATTTATGTGTCCAACCAAACTGACCATTGTAAGTGTTAAGTACTGTCACCATTATATAATTCAGTTATGTGTATTTTTATGAACGTATACTTTATTTGATATACAATAAAGCACTTTTTTCAATTCATATGTTTACAATCAAGCTATTTTTACTACAGATGTATTGGAAGGAGTCAAAGAAGGTAGAAGCAGTCAGGCTGTAGGAGCTGCGGCCCTACAAGCTGTGTGTCACTTATTCTCATGGGTCCCTCTACAGTCACAGGCCACACATTCTGCTCTTCTTGCTCTGGTTTTCCACTTCACCTGCACTCCGGTCTGTATCCATCTGACTAGGCTACTTAGGTTTATTTCTTACTTCAATTTTACCTCAACCCATTACCCAAAGATCGGTACATTGGACTCAAAAGCTAATTACTCATAGTAAATTACTAGAAAAACTTAAAATAGGCCCTAATTGGAATATAAAATAGAGCTCTTTATTGGTTTTCTTCATATTTGACAAATAGATCTCAATTTGTGGAAATTACCCATTTGACAAATCATAATAGAATTATCAAATCATCATCAACTTATCAACCAATTAAATTTGGGGTGCCACAAGGTTCAATTTTGGGGCCTTTGCTTTTTTTTGTAAGGGCGTGGAAGATACCTTCAGGCAAAATTCTAAATTATGTCTTCACGCTGATGATTCTAATTTGATTGTATCATCTAACTCACCAGAAGAAACTGAAATTCTTATAAATGTAGAATTAGAGAATATGGGAAACTATTTCTGCAATCATAACTTATTATTAAATTCACAAAAAACTAAATTTATAAATTTCAGAACAGCACTACACAAAATTACAAAAGAGCCAACAATAACTTACAACTAAAACAACATTCAAAAGGAAAATCAAATCAACTTTCTGGGATTAACAATAGATGAATGATTTGAATTGGGATAAACACACACAGAAAGTTTTAACCTAAACTAACTCTGGAATGTTCGCATTATCAAAAATGTCCTTTTATTGTAATTTGAAAACCCTAAAAAGTATATACTTTGCTCACATTCACTCCCATATTTCATTCAATTTAGCATTATATGGGTCAACAAAAATATATTTAATATGGATAGCATTCTGAAGCGACAAAAAGAAGCTATCAGAATTATGCTTAAGCTTAAACGAGATGATTCGACAAAAGAACATTTTAAGAAATTACAAATTTGTACAGTTTATGGGCAATATATTTATGAAACAATTCTTATCGCCAAAAAAATGAATCTGAGCAAGTAATAAGTAAATTCCATTCATTCTTATAATTTAAGGAGGAGAAGGAAGTTTGTCCAGCCTCACAAATTAAAGTTTTTTGAAGAAACCCTCATATGCTGGTAAAGATCTTCTAAAATTTGTCCCCGAATTCATAAAAAAAGAAACAAACCTATCTAAATTCAAGAAATTTCTAAAAGAGCATATAATAAATCTAGCATTATATTCTTTTGATGAATTTTCCACCTCCCAAAAAAATAAATAATATTTTTATTTTAAGTATTCTGACATTATTCACTGTGCCACCAATGTACATGATTTACGAATAAAGATATTTGAATATGGATTAACCAAACTTCTACATGCGACTATCCATGTGATTTATACTAGAGGTTAAAATACCTTAATCCGTCAAATATGCTTATGTTGTTTAAATTAGATAAGCGAAAAACTGGTTTTATGGTCCTAGGGCTGTAAAACCTGCTCGGCCCCTCCAAATGAGGATATGACAGCTAGCTAGCTTTCAGCCTCCAATTGACATTTGTAAAACGGCTAAAAACATAGCAATGTGGTGGAAGGATAGGTCAGATAAACAAAATTAAATGTAAATATAAAATTAAACTTAAATTGTATGATAATGTAAAACATAATAATTTTAAAAATAATTCAAGATACAAGCTGGCCCCGGACATTAATTACAGATTATATTGAAAATAATTTCTGCAAACATCATCATAAAAAGAGAATATTGTTATAGTCCTTTCTTAAAACTAAATTTAACATTTTTCAAAGGTATTTAGTACGGTAGGGGCTTAATAATATAAAAAAAAACTTAACTAATATTGGAAAAAAATAGCCTATTGAATTTAGGAAAGAGGAATGGATACATAACTAATTTACCCAACAAAAAATTTCCAGGCAGTTGAAATCCCACAAAAAGTTCACTTGGGGGTTCCACAATACATGGGATTGGACTCTTGAATAAAAGTTTGTCATCACATTCCATTATACAAAGTAATAATGACAACCAAAATCAGTTTTTGGTGTTTATTGCACTATTCTATGCCACAATGACTGTAATCAGTGGTTGTGACGCTTCGCACTTCCATTATGATCGCAGGAACACCATTGCCATTGCCTAACAAAATCATACCTGACAACATGCGGAGGTAAAATCATCCTCTACCGACATACTGGCAAAATTGTGAAAAAGCAATTTGTTGATTCCATAGGACAACCTGGGAGTGTGTGCGTTGGCCGTCCTCAACGAGGTGTTGTACAAGAACTGTGTGCCACACTCTCTGCTGCCCTCAGTGTTTGTCGTCTGCACTCAGAACCACCAGCTGTTACACCTGGTCCTGCAGCAGAGCGATCTCGCCAACATTGATGAGAAGTAAGTCAGCTGACTACAATACTATGACTTACTGTGATTACATGGTTTTGAAGTCCACGGATTCACCAGTAGTTTGTTCACCAGCAAATGGATTGTTCACCACTAGGTTATGTTGTCAGTTCCTCAGACAAACTTATACAAAGTTTTTTGACTGAATTCACAAACACAATCCAGACATTTCAAGTCAAAAATAAGAAGTTTCAAAAACTCATTTGCTATTGATAGTTTTCGTGGCAATATTAGACCAAACATAAGTAAAGGAATTAGTGTTTGTGTATTCAATGATTGAGTAGTTACGATCAAGTTTATTTTTATGATTCAGGAGAGGCAAATAATATATGCTGTTTAAATAGGAAAAATGAAAATTGCTATCCAAATCTTATAGCTACATGGGTTATCCATAATCTTCTTTGAATAAGCTAAAACAGCAACACCATTGAAAGTTGGTTAACGTATTTTAATGTGTTGTCTGTCAGTCACAGTATATGCCTCGCATCAGAACGTTCTCACGTTGTTCAGTGGAGTTTCTCTTAATAACTGTCCCAAAGTTTTGAAAGTATGGATTAATTTGTCGAAATAGGTGTTCTGATGCGAGGCATATACTGTGACTGACAGACAACACATTAAAATATGTTAACCAACTTTCAATGGTGTTGCTGTTTTAGCTTATTCAAAGAATATTATGGCTGTCCAGGTGGTAACCCAGAGTTTGTGGGTAAAAAATGGAGCACAAGAAATGATTCATATCACCCCACTTTTCAGGATTCTCTGCGTGGACTTTGTTTGATTAGGGGGATGTCTCAAATCAAAGAAATAAAATGACCCAACTTAAATTACTTAACACAGGTTATCAGTAAGGCAACAGTGTTCTTCATTTGCTAATGCTGGAAAAACTTTGTTGAAACATGTTAACTCGAATTGAAGCAGATTGTTTAGCATTCATTAGAAGCTATCAGTTAAAACTGATAGCAGAAATAATGGAGGTGAACCTTGGCGATGCAAATAGAGATATTTAAAATTAGTTTCTACTTAAACAACTTTAAGATGTAACTAGAATTACTCGAATTTAAGCATAACGTTTTCCTCGGCGTTATGTCTCATGCACGGGTTCTCTAGTTATTCAGATTAGTTGTTTACTACTGCAGTATGTGTTTTTGCAGCTACATCAACAAGTTGACAGAAATGTCTCACCTATGTCTATCCAAACATTGGCACCGGATAGAACAGAACCATCTGTTCCCTGTCAACGACTTCCTGTACGCCTTGTATCAGTACACTTTCCGTCAACCCACTGTGACTACGTACTACGCTTGTCTGGAGGTGTGGACATCGCTGCTTGACTATCTAGCGGACAAGGATGCTGTGCATATACACAAGTAAGAAGCTTATTCTGATTTTAGCGAATTTCGCTGTTGCCATCAGTGTGTTGAAAAAGTCTTAACACGCCCAAAAATAAATTAAACGGCTTAAGATAAAATTTATTTGCAACTTCAACATATCATTTTATGATTTGATTTTACCGTTCTAGCTTTTTTGCAAGAAATCAAAAATTTTGCCCCCTGGCATTTTAAAATTTGGTGTTGTCCGCTATCTCCCCCTTTTAGGGTAGATAGAGGGCAACACCAAATGTTCAAATGTAAAGACCCATGTTGTGAAAAATTAAAATGTGTTAGCGTTGCAAACAACAAATATATAATGTAAAAGAACATTTAAATTGAAAACTGATACTTAAGTCTTTTTTTGTTACACATTTACCGTTTGAAACTATCTGTAGTAATTGGTCAACTATATTCCTATAGGTATGAAGAATTTGCAACCGCTCTGGTTGAAGCCGTCATAAAAAAAATGAAATCAGATCTGGACTTGGACGATGAGAAAACTGACGATGATGTAAGTAACTGCTACACTTAAACTTAAAATAAAATGTATAGACTAGATTACTACATATCAGAGTACCGGTACCTACTACATTATTTTAATCACTTAAATTTGGAAAGAAGCGTAGGCCTACTTTGTGTATGAATATGTGTGAAGGATGAACTTAAGTTAATGAGATGACAAAGATCTAATGAGATGTGATACTTCACCAACATTTATTTAAAGACCAAACTACAAAAACTACTGTTTTTCTCAGGATCAAATGGTTACTTTTGGATTACTAGGCCAGCATTTGATCCATTCTGTTTGTCAGCTATAATTAGGAATAGTATATTTCATTACTAGGACCGAAAGTGGCATTTTCCGTCGCGCGCCCAAGTTTTTGTGTGAGGCGAAGCCGAACATAGGGAACTCCAATTTCACGTGCGAGGCGAAGCCGAGTATGTGAGAGCTATTTTCACGTACGAGGCGAAGCCGAGGACGGGAATAATGGAGCAAGTGCCGGATAATAACTTTCGGTACGAGTTATGAACGATACTTTTCATAAGGACGCAAAAATATACAAACACAGAAAAGCAGACCTCAGTATATTAAAACAATTTGATTTCTCAATTAATTTGATTGAACATCAAAATAAAATAAAATCTTCTAAAAAGAAACCTAAGTATATTTCTCAATAAATTTTGTTTAAACATCAAAATAAAAGAATAACACAACTTTTAAAAATAAATACAGCTGATTAAAATCATTAAATTAAACCGTAACAAAACACTGGCGCGCGTAGTGAATAAATGGAGAACTAATTGAGAGCGAGGGAAAGTAAATTTAGAGAGAGGGAAAATCAGCTGATCGACTTTCCCTCGCCCTAAATTAGAGCTTGGGAAACGAATACTTTCATTGATATCAGCTGTTATCGAAAATAGTTACTTTACTAAATACATGAAATAAAAATACTATTTCGATTTCTGGGAGGTGGGCAACTCATCAAAAGAATATAATGCTAAATTTATTATATATTTAATAAATTTACATCTGGGCCCAAGGCAGCGATGTCGTGGGTTCGGATCCTGGTAACTGCCACAAACATTCAGAACAGTTCACCTTCGCACTGTACCGGTTCACCCCTTGCTTTGCTGGATACATTCCACGCACAGGAAGTTAATCTATGTGGACGGGAAAATGCAAGGTTAAAAAAGACCACCTGTCTATAAAAAAAATATAAAAAAAAAATTGAGTAAGCCTTCTGCAATCTTTGTAGGAACATGTAAAATTCTATTAACAGCTAGACAACAACAAAAAAATTATTTTTATAGGTGACATGTGACATTATATCAAGACACAAGTTATCCAGCTATGTTGTGTCACAGTTTCTAATGTTTGGTTGATAACATTTCAGGAGGAAACAGAACGCCAGGTGTTCATCAGGCACAACATCGAGGTGATAGGAAAGATTGGAGACATCGTACCAATGGCCACCTGTTCCAGAGTTGTAAGTAAACCAACACTTGAAGCTTGGACTATTACCTCCCAGTTGAGTGGAGCGATCACGTTTCATAGTTTTTTTAATAAATCAATAAATGAAAGCAAAGTTTAAACTAAAATGTCATAAATAAAGATGTGGACATTACATACATATCCTTCGTGTTGGCATTTTTTCTGTGTTTACTTGCTAATGTCATCTGGTGAACCTACAGTTCTGGTTGAACTCGACCAATCAACATTTTAATTCAGGCAGAATTAAGCCTGCCTAGATCCATATGATTTAGCAGATGTAATTTTTTAAAGACTTGCCGGCATTGAAGGAATTGCAAAAATAGTTTCATCATACCTTACAAGTTCTGTTTACTTACATTTTGTACATCTAATATACATGAAAAGTGTGTATTACAATCAGTTATTTAAAAACATTGCCAGAAGTTGTTGTTCAACCATTTTGGAAAATTTTTATTGGCTTAATTTTCAAAAAATACCTGGAAATGTTTTAGAATCCACTCTGAAATAATTTTCGTTGTCGCCCTTATGTGAAACAGGCATTTTCTTGTAAAAACTACTTTTGTTTTAGGACCTAGGCCTGCACTAAAGTTTGCAAAACATTGGAAAAGATGGCTTGTAATGTAATTTTGTAAGATTAACATGTAAGAGCCATATTTTTTTGTCACGATTGAAGCATCGCCCTATTGATTACTTAACTGGTACTAAATAGCTATTCTTTGAATAAACGTGATCATCAGTTACTTACATCATCCTCCTTTACTCCGTGCCGTGTAGGTGGACGCGTGGCAAAAGTGTTGTGCAGCCTACAGCAAGCTGTTGTTCGCCACAGAGCCGCCCCAGCCTGGCCCCGAGCTGCGCAGAGTGTTGTTGGACTGTGCAGCCCTCACGCAGACTGTTGGTCACATCCATGGCCACCTGTCGGGCACCATGAACCTGTCCATGAGTCTCAGTGGTCTGGCTGTGGCCGCCAGCCGGACGGTGTTGCATGAAAAAGTTACCGACCCGGACACTGTTAAGCTGCTAGTGGCTGTGTAAGTCAATCTGTTAACTCATCTTTGTGGTCCCTGAACTGGTAGACAAGTATATATATTGGTTTATTTACCTTTATTTTTTCCACAGTTCAAAATTAGTTGCTACTACAACCAAGGTTTGTACGCTGATCCTTTCTATTTTAAAGCATTGAATCGATAACGAACATTGGACGGGGTACCACGGTTACTTTGAACCAACAGCTTGAGGTTATCTGGTTATGTCTTGTTCTTGAAATCTTGTTGTTTCCAGTTTTTTCCACTATGTACTGACCAGTCATTTGTTACAAAGACACTGTATTTTTTGTAAAAATGGTGTATCCGTTATTAATAAACAGCCAAACGCTTGATCAATAAAGGTATTTTTATTTATTTATTAAGTTAAGTCCTGATGAAAACTGTTTTAACTTTCCTATTTTTGACCTGAATAAAGAGAATACCAAGTTTCAGCCTTGAAGTTAGTCTGGAGGTTGGTGAATTGAATTCAACGATTGAGTGAGTGAGTCAGTGAGGGCTTTGTTTTTATAGGTTTAGATTACAATAAATAAACCATTAATATTCTCCAAAAAGCCCCCCCCCCCCCATTAATTGAATTTAAAGACTTTTACTCCATAGTTATGACCATTTATTTCCCGTCCAGGACTGTAGGCACAAGCCTGGGATTGTTTTTCACATTACTTAAGGCTAGAACCAGGGGTTGCGGCATTATCACTTATATAAAATCCATTGGTGATTTAGCGGGATTTGAACCATGGACCGAAGTCCCCCACTGAAACCACTAGACCAGCTCGCTCCCCATAGTTATGACCATTATGGATAAATAGAATAAATATAGACCGACAGTATTGCTGCAGTTAGCACATGTTCTGGCATCCACCGCTAGGAGTGCCCAGTAGGCGACGCTCACCGCTGCAGCTTCTGCTGGTAGCATGCAGTGAGGAGCTGACGACGGCATTGTAAGATATTTTTATTTTGATAATGTACCATTTAAATGTAATCTCAATTTAACTTTATTTAATCACAATTGTATTATGTAACTGAATCATCATATAAACAATAACAATATGAACAAAACAGATGTAAATTATTAATTGTATGTTTTGCCAGTACATTGGAACACACATCAGCAGCAAATCGAACACCGAGCACGCGCTATTGGCACATCGGAACCTCGTTTGACAGTCTATATTTATTCTATTTGTCTATGTTATGACCTTAAATCACCACAAAACAAGAGAAGTTTCCAATTTCAATCTTCACACCCACTGGGCTTCTTGACTTTCTAAAAAATCACATTAATCTTTTGGTCTTTGCATGTAAAGGACATGCAACAAGACTGGCACGTGTTCAGACAGCAGCAAGGCTTATGACCACAAGCAGATTATCGTGTATGTGGGTTAGATGGTGTGAAGGAAAGTGTATGTTTTTATTTCAATTTCAGGGTGGCTAGTGACCTGGAAAACCTGGAAAACATGGAAATGTCAGGGAATATTAAATATCTGGAAAAGTCATGGAAAAGTCAGGGAATTTTGTCATAAGTCAGGGAAAATTGTAAAATGTTTAAAATAATTTTAATAATTGTTAGGAACTAAGGTCGATCTGGTGAGAGTACGTATTACTTACTTTCTTTTATGCCGTGTGGGTGAAAACTAAGAAATATGTCTGTACAAATAAATTTGGTATTTTTGTATAAATTAAATTTTGTTATAAACTGCATATCATCTTATCAAACTCAGTTTAATTATATTAATGCAAATTGCAAAGTTTTAATATAAGCTAGCCTGTATCTATAGATTTTATGTTATTTTTTTTAAACATAAGATATTCTTTAGATAAAGATTAGTCATTTTGAAGAATTGGTTAGGATTAAAATTGTAATTTTGAATTTGTCGATCAGGGAAAGTTTAAAAAAATCATGGAATTGTCAGGGAAAAGTCAGGGAATTTTTCAATGTGATTTCACTAGCCACCCTGAATTTGGACTGGAGATGCCTACATTGACTCTAGAACTTGTCTATGCCTCTAGACATGCCGAGGTGATTGCTGCACTGCCCACCTGGCTCAGTACTGAACATGTCAACACAGCTGTGGAGGCTTGTCTACCTCTGCTGCAGTCACAACACACTGTTGTCAAGCTACAGCTGTGTGCTGCTCATCTGCTAGCAGCTCTAGCCAACAAGAAGTTCTCTCCTCACCCTCTGCCCACATTGCTGCCGTTGTTCCAGACAAACCTCGGTCACCTGAACCAAGAGGTAAGTCAAATAACACGTTTTATGTTGTATTCAGCATACACAAATAATATGAGCATATGCTATGCTGCGGTGTTGTTGGAATTGTGAACACCTTCTGCGGTCCCAGATACATCATAATCGGCTTTTGGGATCACAGAAAGAAAACTTTTGAACACTTCGCTGGATTTTGTACGAGTCGTGAACATCTCTGATGTTAAGTCGGTTCTTAGACGAGAAAATGTATGACTAAATAAGTGAACAAACCTTGTTAACTTTTGGGTGAACAAAAGCTGTACTTACTAACATACATCAAGTATCCTGACTGACTTGATTAAATGTAACAAGGTGAATATAGGTAGTAGGCCTTCTACTCGAGGCGAAAGTTATCCACTAAGGTTTGTCATTAATAAAGTTTGTTACCATTAATTTGTTCCACGATGTAATAAAAAAACATAATAAATCTAAGTATTAATACCAAGGCAAAAATGTGGTTCGGATTCCACTAAACTGTAGGTCTCTTAGTTGCCATTAGCTGTATGGGCTATTAATTAACAGCTCTGTATTAGGAATATGTCGGCCTTAGTCACTAACAAGACTACAAGATCGTGCCACTCATCTCCATTCATACTTGGCTTAAAAAATACCTACTTTGTATTGCCTCCATTTCAATGAAAAGTATTTAAATATTTCCCAGTACAAATATTTCAGGTCAAAAAGATTGACAGATTATTTGACATGTTACAGACTCAGACACTGGTCCAAAGTGCGTTGTGTCGTATCTTGATGACTTGCCCACCAGACATACAGACGGAAGAGCAGCGTCTTGAGCTGATGACCAACCTGGTCAAGTCCATGATGCCCAGCGGCACACAGGACTTGCGACAGATCACTGCACTGCTTGTACACTGTAAGCCTGAGAACAAACAAGCCAAGCAGCTGCTGTACTCTGCACTACAGGTGACCTTTGTGTTAGCCATCTTTCTGTTTGTACTGCTTGTTGTTTTCTTTTGTTTTTCCTTTTAACTACCGTAAGTTTTCCTTTGTGGTTTCGCTTTTATAATTTTCTAGCTTTGGCTGGGTTTTTTTAACTTTTCTCCATCCAACCTGGGAAACGGGAACTGTACACGTGAATTTTTAGGGCTGGAAAAATCTTTGGATTGTAAATTATTTATAATACTGGGAAATTTCAAATTTTGAATAATCCCTTCTAGTTAAGGTATGTTAACAAAATTGTGAATGTAATAAAATATTGGTTTCTTTTCACATAACGTTTTGTACATGTAGCATAGCTAAAAAAAAAACAGGTGACATTGTCAAATTATGTAATAATTATAAACCATCCACAATGTCTTAGAATATAAATAAAATTACAATAAAAGGAGGTTAAGTGGGAAGATAAAGATTAAAATAATTACAGAATCGAGCTGTCCATTAAAAATTCATTAATGCTATAATAAGTTTTACCTAGTAAAAAGTTGGCAAGGCTGCTTTTAAAAGAATTAGTATTTATTAATACTTTTGATTCTGGTTCTAATTTATTTTTAAAAAATTTCCCCATGTAGGAAGGTGTTTTTTTAACAAGTTTGAGATGGTGTCTATGACACAATGTGTTTAGTGACTGCCGTCCTCGAATAAGTCTGATCATGAAAAGTGTTTGTGTTTACAAATATTGCTAAATCATTGTGAATGTTCCCACATTGGAGAAAGATGATATTGTATGTTGCCACAATCACATAAAATATACACAGTTATTGCTATGGCTGCGGGAGATCATCCCAAATGTTGCTACAATAGCCTGAGATGCTCAAAATGTTGCTGTTTTTCTGGTGTTAACCGTTGGAAAGTCACTTCTAAGTTTAGTACTGCTTCAAAATCAAGTACTGCAAGAACCATAATATAAGAATTGTTATCCACCAGAAGGAGTTCATTTACTGGCCTGTATCTCAGTTTTATTCGCATCTTGATGCTATTGCAGTTTTAATTAACCCTATCAATTATTCTTTAAACCTGATTTTCTTTTTCTCTTTTCAGCCAGTGTTGGAGAACGTGATTGCGGAATTCCCGGTCAGAATGAATACAGAGCCACAAGTTTGTGATCAGATGTTAAGCTTTTTCTTGGAAGCTTTTCGAGCTCTCCAAGAACATATCGGAGCTGACATGACTCAACGTGCTGTTGAGACTTTCATCAATGCCTTCCGCAGGTATCTTACATTTTGGAAGCAAAGTATTTAAATTTAGCTCTAACCTATAAGTGTGACTGTATAAATGTTAACTGGTGTAAATTATCTTACAGTCTGGCAACTATAATCTGTAGAAAGATGAATGTTTCAAATGGTGGATTTACATGAGAGGAATGTGTTGGATTGAATATAAACAAGCCTTACATAATATTTACAGTTGCTGGGGCATTTAATTGAGGAAAAACCTATCTTAAGTAAATCTGAAACTCAAGAGAATTGAATTGTGATCAATTGTCATAGGCTAAGCTATTACTACATTGTTTGATTGGTTCGTCTCAGAATAATCAAAGTAGTCCTGCAACGCAGCTCACTAATCCCTCATTGACAACAAAATTCCTAGGTGTCATTTTTGATTCCTCCATCAAATGGTATGGTCACGTGCAAAGTGTTGTTAACCGCACCAGTTCTGCTCTGTTTGCCATTCGAATTCTCAGTTCAACTTGTAGCAGGGAAGTTCTTGTGGACGTCTATCGTGGATATTGCGAAAGCATTTTACGTTATGGCATTGCTGTTTGGGGAAGCTCTTCTGATTTGGAAAGAATACTTAAGCTCCAAAAAAAGATTCTGAGGCGCATTTTCGGTCTCTCCCATCGCCATCCTTACAGTACATTCGTTGTACATTCAGCAGGTCCTTATTTTGACCTTTGTCAACAGGGGTCAATTCCAACATCTAGGGCATTTCCATGACCACCAAACGAGAAATGGAGGCATCCTCTGTTATCCGAGGCACAGAACTGCGGCCTTTGAGAGGAGTCCGTTTTACAGGGGAATCAAATTTTTTAACAAATTGCCTCAGGCAATAAAATCCCAAGACTCTTTGTCCCTATTTAAGAGACACTTAGGCCTAAAATATTTTCTATGCTCAAATGCTGTTTATTCCGTCTCAGAATTTCTAAGCCTATAATGTGTATATATGTAGATTCTCATGTTGTATGTTTTAGTTTTAGTTTGTAAATATTGACGATGCATGATATTTGTTACATGTTATTGTATACAAATCTAATGTGCAAATAAACGATTTGATTTGATTTTGATATGTTTGCAGTGTGGACATCATCACTAGAGAGTGTGGTGTTGACAAGCTCCTACAACTGCTTGTGTTGATTGTAGAGCAAGCATCAGGCATCTTCAAGCAGTTCATCCCCTCATGTGTCACACTCTGTCTGGACCACATCTACCCTGCAGTCTACAACAGCCCCAACTCTAATATCAAACCTTGCCTGTTTCATCTGTTGTACAGGTACAGTTTCGTAGAATTTGTGAACTGAAGGATGTGATCCTGGTCCTGGTAACAACATGACCATCTCCCATGATCCCCTTAGCATTGTTACCACCTGTTAACACCTCCCATGACCCCCTTAATAACGTTACTATCTCCCATGATTCTCTTATAAAATAATGTGACCATTTCCTATGATGCTCTTAACAATGTTATCACCAAGAAACTGTCAAAATAATAATATCTAATATATTTTAACAGTCAACATACTAAATCTATAATATTAAAACGAAACAGGGTTTTTTTTATTTCACGATTCTGAATCAACCACTTGACCGATTTTCATGATTTTTGTGTTGAAAAAAAGATAATTTTGAGAACTAGGGAATGTCGAAGCCATAATTGTAATTTAGGGTTTCAGTTTTTTAGAAATTAAGTTTCAATTTTTAAAAAGTCTAGCAGCCGACGCTAGCAATTCGAAGTATTTTCAGTGCTGGTTAAACTAACAGCTGGTTATAAACTGTCATTGAAAATGTTGATGTTACAAGTTGTTTGTATACAAAAATATTGGTCTTCGGTGTTGGACTGCATACTATTTCACTTTAAAATTTAGTTTTTTTCTACCGTGAAGGATCTGCTTTACCAGGAAATGTGTTATTTTGATCTATACATCTCAAACAGTTTAATCAAGTTTTGTCGTAACTTAAATGCAAACTGTGTAAGTAAGTTATTTAGTTTATGGCATGGAAATTTCATCTCATATTTGGGAAATCTTTTTTTCAGGAATTTATTGCTTAATCGTTTGAGATATAGGTGGTTTACGTGTTGATACTTCTTTTTCTGTGTGTCCGAATGTATGTGAGTCGTGTAATAATTATTGATTGTATTTTTAAGACAGTAATGCATACTTGTATGTGTATTTTAGGCTGAATAGGAATGCAAGAATAGTTTATAACGGTGACAAACCGACAGTTGATCCCTGTAACTTAGTTGCTTACTAATCTTGGTGATTTCCTCTGTATCTATATAGTACGCCTTGTTTGTCATAGTATTCTGCTACACAAGTGGCAGTACTTCTACAGTGGCAGTGTTGCCGACGGAGAGCCCGAGCTGCAGAATGGACATCAGTTGGCTGCCATACTGCAAGCGTTTGGAGAGTCACTCATGCAGAACGACATCACACTGTTCTCTCAGAATCTGCAAGCTCTTGAGATACTCAACCTGCAGTGGAAGTTGTACCAGCGGGTGAGAAAGCTTGTTATTGTACAGGACAGCAATCAGTAATATTAGTTCTTTAGTATCCAATGTCAACTGCCTTCTTTGGTTTAATTGGAGCCTAGCACCCTTTAACCCTCCGAGTGTCCATGGTTTAGGCCTTAATGTCCGCCTATTTTTGGCGCATTTGCAAGGTTTTATTAAAACGGATCTGAGAAGCTTAAAACAATGTTAATTCTACTGTTCTATATACCATTTTGTTTGGAAAATCATGGGCTTCAATATTATACCTAAAACATAAGGAACATTTGTTTCAAAAAAAATTTTTAGGTAAAAAAAATATTTTGGAAAATTTTCAAAAAAAAAATAAGTTCGCGCTCAATGAAATTGTATAAATTATAGGCCTATAAATATTTGAAAATAGCCACTTTGTTCTAAATTTTATGAGGATTACAAATATATAATAATATAAGGAAGTAGATTTGCAAATAAATAAGTTATGGGCAAAAAACAGATTTCAGTACATAGCGTTTAGCTAAGAATGCATAGCCTAACCATAGCTAGGAATCTGGCTGATAATTTACATCAATATCACTACCTACTTCTTCAGGATCATCAACCAGCCCTTCAAAATCACTTAAATCTTCTTATAATGCACCACGTATGTCACTACTTTTGATTTTTAACACTAAAACAATGATAAACGTAATAAAACACATCAGTCATCGGTCCGAGGGTAACCTAGCTGTTTAGAAATACGCATGTCAGCTGTCTGCTACGATTACGATCGGCTCGGAGAACATACAGCGCTGAGACAGACCTCTGGAGAAAGCGTAGAATATGATGAATAAAACGATACCTAACTCGATCCAGTTCAATCCGATTCAGTCAGTCATAGAGCCTTCGCCGTAAATGATGTTCGTGCTTCGAAAAATCGCGCTCACACTACACAAAGTGTGTAGCGCGTCGATTTTTCGACGATGGACGCTCGGAGGGTTATGTTTTGACTCTGTTTGATTGTGCTATAGGAAGAGTTGGTTGGGCTTTGTTAATACTTTTCTTTCCTATCGACATGACAAGTTTAAACTAGGAGTTGATAATGCTGGACACTATTGAGGAAATACAAGACTTTCCATCTCTAAATAATTGTATGATCATTTTTCTAGCGTTTTTGTAAATTTTAGAAACAGCGAATCTTAGCAACATCCGCAATGCATAGTGAATTAAGTGTTATGACATCTCCTATTCCTGCAATGTTCTCCATGTAGTAAGAAATCTGAAATCAATTTATTGTAGACTCCCTATTGTTTGAACATAATGAGATAAGACCTTTGTCCAGTCTTCAGAGGTTAGTACAAGTTTAAATAAGTATGCTTCAAAATCACATGATGTACAGACTATTGTTAACTAGGCCTACAGTACAAAAAAAAGAAACCAAGAAAAATTAAACTGTAGGCCTACCAAACTATAAAGGATTATGGCAATCACATATTTTCTACCAAACTGTGCTGGAAGAAAAGGTCATGGCTGTAGTATATGCGTGTGTTTTTATATTTGGATATAGACAAAGCATCTGAGTGCATGAATTATTAAGTTGTTAAGCTATTTTTACCGAGCCTAGTATTTATTCTTGGCTTTTACCATATACTAGTGGTCATCCAGTGGTCGAAAACTCGACCAAAAATATGTAATGTGCACTTGACTATAGGAGACTGAAGTTGACATCATCAATGGATCAACTGACGCATTTTTTTTATTAAAAAACATGTATTTGAGTGAGCCAGTCACAGAATTCATGTCTAAAATCGCATATTTTCTAACTTATTTTTCCTGCTGACAAAGTTGATTGGTCATAACGGTTGCTATAGCTCATATAATAAGTCATTACATAAGTTTGACTTGGTAATAAAGATTGTTTATTCAACAGAATTTTTCATTTTGATCAGCGCAATCTGTTGGTGGCTTACATCAACTACGACTAATTTAATTCGAAACCTGGCGACAACTTTAACATGGGGATGGAATTTCTAGTTGTAAGTCAACTACAGGCTTCCCTATTTTCACCCCAAATTGTAAATAAAAATGTGATTATAATTTCCCTTTTTGTTTTTATTTTCTGTTTATATTTCGTTGTTATATCGTCACCAGCATGGCAAATCCATGATCCATGTTAATTTTTCCAAAATTTTAAACTAATTTTTTGTGATTATTTTTGAGCCTATTTTAATTTATAAAGGGATTCTGCTCATCTACAGGAAAATAGCTTTCCACCAGTATGCGTAAATTTTCCCTGCGATACACACGAGCTGAGAAAAAAGGTTTTAAAGAAACATGCTTGCCTATTAATATGTAGATAGATAGATTAGGCTACTTAGTCATAATGAGCTAGTCTCATTATGTACAACTGTACAATTCGCGTAAATCCGTTGGCAATAAACAAATAAAGTCTGTTGCCACTGTATCATTCAAAGTTCGAATGATAAAGATACATACTCTAAAACAAATCAATATGTTGCAAGTTGATGAGATGACTCTCCACTATATTTTAAAAATCCAATTGTCATAAATAACAATTTCAGGAGCTGTTCCGCACCCAGTTTCTGCCAGAATATCTGACTCTGCTGTTGAACACACTGATCTTGAAAACCCACGCTCTGAGAGCTGACGAGATAGCGACTGCAATCTACAACATGGCTACTGTGGACTTTGAAACATTCTATTTGTTTTTCCTTCCACACTTCCTGGACCATACTACCGGCTTGGACAGTAACCAACGAATGGTGCTGCGGCGCAACATGAAGGCTGATCAGGTAAAAATAATAAGTTAACTATCCCGCAAAGGATAAAGAACCAAGTCTCTGAGTACCTAGATATGAGCTGTGAAAAATCTTGATTTCATCTAGTGCTTTACCCTCAAAAGGTTGATGATCGTTTTGGCGGATATGTCATTTCCTTCGGACCTTGGGGTTCGCCAAAACATCTAACTCACGCACACAAACATTTAGACAAAATATGATTATCAATTAGTGGCCGCAGTGGTTGAATATTTATGATTTATCTAAATGTTTGTGTTTGCAAGCTTGTGTTTTGTTGAACTCAATATGCGAGAAGCTTGATATTCATGACAATGATCAGAAAGAGGCGACATAGTTGCCGAAACTATCGTCATCCACCCTTAGAGAAGGTAAAGTAACCACTAGACGAAATCAAGATAACATCCGATTTATATGCAACTCATTACTCAATAATATAAACTTAATATTTTTGTGACTGATTAAATCTTGAAAAGTTTCAGTAGAACTTGTGTACATTTAGAGCTGACAAGAAGACACACAGAATCAAAAGAAGTAGAACCAGTTGGTGAGACCAAATACCTTCTTCAGTATAAATTACTTTAGGAGTAAGTTTTAAAAGATACTTAATGTTCGTACTACGGTACGAACTACTGGATTAGTTCTAGTCTGTAATTGTTTGAAGTTTACTGTATAGTAACATTTTTTCAGGATCTGCCAACTTTTATCCAAAATGTTCACCGGTTGGCCAACGACATTCGCTGTTATCGTCTCTGTAACGGAACAAACCCAGCCGCCTCATGATCTGTGATACAATCTGTGTAAAGTGCCATCTTTTCTTTCTTTTGCGTTCTTATTCTCTTATCTATTATTTCTTTCCTAAAAAGTATTTATAAAAAAAACTATATGTAATTAATTATTTTCTAGGGCATCAGTTTGTCTATTTTATCATAGACAAAAAGAATTAAATATAGACTGTCAGCCGTGCTGTGGTTACCATGGTTACCATAGGTTCCGGCGCACACCGCTGTAGTTTACGTAGCACGTACACCGTAAATACATGGCGCTCCAAGCGGTGTGCGCCAGAAGCTATGGTAACCACAGCACAGCTGACGGTCTATATTTAACTCTTTTTGTCTATGATTTTATTTACTTGCATGTTGCATTTCGTACAATCAAATTTCTGAATTATGTTTTCATTTTCGTTATGTGCTTTGTTTTATATTTGTTTTTTACATGTTATATTTTACTTTATTTATATATAATACAGATCATTATCAACCATATTTTACCAAGAATCACTGATTAGTTGAAGAATAAGTTGAAGATTTTTAGTATTACTTTATTTATTTAGTAACAATAAACTATTGCGTATACATTTTTTCAAAACATGGTATGGATGTGTAATTTCTCAAGCTGTCAACCCACACGGTTTCAAATTCATTCAATATTTTTCTTGTATGTTGTGCAGTAATTCAGTGTATTTGTGTTTTAAATTGCGCCGAACAATTGATATTGAATCATTTTTATTTTTTATCCCCCAACCACACTTCCTGTTTTATATTATTTGTTGAGTTTTTAACGTACTTCAGGTTTTACTCTACTTATTAAGACCAAAGATTTAGTGAATTGCATTTTACTATGGTTGTACTTAACCAAAACCTCTTTCTTACAGATTAAACAAACTCACAAGTGGAAAGCAAAAATAAATTAACTATTACATATATCTTTTTATACAAGTTTCAATATGAGTTTTGGAGTACATTTAATGTTTAACCTAATCTAAAAGAGTGTTTTTATTGTTAATAGTCTGGTTTTCTTTCAGGGTATTTCAAATTAACATTAGTTCAAAAGCAATAACATAAAAATGGGCGACACTACATTTTTAAATTGTGTCAGTCTGTAAAACCAGAAACTGTTAACATCACAGGTGGATATTCAACTATAACATGTATATATGTGATGTTAAGCAGGCATATTCCTGTCTTAAATTATGTAGATCTTACTGATAGATTATCTTTGATCTTCTTCTTCTTAAATATCTTGATACATTCTTCTTATTTGTCGTACATTAACAATAATACCTAGATTTCTAAAATATGTAGAAAAATATTGGTATTTATAGCTTTACTATAGCCAATAATAAATTACTGCCTTGTTATTAATTTAGAAGAAAAAAAGGTCAAGGATTTTACAATGCTCAACATTCAATTTGTGTTTATTTTTTCATGCTCTCTTCTATAGTTACCACTTTTTGAGGCGTTTTAAAAGACATATTATTTCAAGATAATGTAATGTTTTTTGTTTGATAACGTTTCTGTAAACGCTAAAATAAATGTATTATTTATTTAAAAATCAATGTACAATGAAGATATTTTATCTTGAAAGTTAAGTGTCTAATAGTTAAGGCTAAAGATGTTGATCAAAATTATCTACTATTTTATTTTGACAAATCTAAAAAACTACTATACAAACCTTAAATAGGTTTTTGTAATGTACTATTTTCATTTATTACAGTTCAGAATATACATTTATAGTGAACCGTTATAAAAAATTGAGGAACTTATCAAAGCTCAAGAATGCACAAGTTAAGTTCAATGTTTTACCATCTCTCTCTCCTCACTGTTATTTTTTTGCTGTGCAGGTTTTGGTTTTTACTTTCATATCCTGAATGTAAGTTTCTGATGTTGTAGTTCAAATCACAATATTTTTTTCTGGATATAGTTTACAGGTGTATATCTGACCAAGTTAGCTGTAGTGTTTTTCAAATTGCTGAGAAGTTACTTGCAAACATTGTCAGCTACCTACCGTAGCTGTGATTATGAAAACATTAGGTCTATGCTGTAGCAATATTGAGTCAAATCTCTGTGTTGCCAAATCTATTTTGCCTTTCCAGTGGTGCGACTGTTCTTACCAAGGGACTAATAAAACAGGCCATGCTGCAGGATCCATGATGTCACATTTGTGGATAGATTTACTACCATATCCCATATGTTTTAGGTAAATAAGCTGGCTTTTTACGTGTGGCAACTTTAGTACAACTATCCACCACTGTGACATAGTGTTGTGCTGCCGCATGGCCTGTTTTTCTAGTGAGGCCTTGCTCTTACTCATCAAATTTGCTATTGATACGTCTAATTTATGGATTTTAAGACTGTAGACAGACAAAAGGAACAACAAAAATATACCAACCTGTTTTCTGTTTCAATGTTATATGACTACGAATACAGTCAAATTGTCATGCATATAATATTTTTACTTCACAATCTCTTAAATTTTGTTGACTTGTATTTATTTGTTTACTTTGTGATTTTCTCATACATCAAAAGGTAAATAACTTAAAATAAAATATTTATTGTCTTTTTTTTTAGAAAAATTACTAATAGGTATGTTAAGAAAGAAGGAATGCTATATAACTAACTCTTATAAGAAAATAGGTCTTGCGCACAATATGTTTTCTATACATTAAACTTGATACTTCAACATCCAAGGGAGCTTCTTTGGAAGAAATTGAAGGATTTTAAATTATCCTGCAATCTTTTTTATAGAAAAGTTCCTTTGGATGGTCAAAATATCAAGTTTTATATGTTGTAAACTGTTAATGCGCTTTAAACTGTCTATAAAATCTATTCTCTGGAGATTTAGTTGAAAAAAGTTGTGTATCTGTTACTACTTTTTCCTCAATGTATTAGCAAAATTACTGTAATTATAAATTAGTTTCCTTCGTAACAGCACATTTTAAAATATCTCTTGAGATAGTTAAATGCTAGAGCTCTTGGTCAGAGATTTTCAAGTTTTATATGTGTGTATTCGTATAATCTGCAGTATTATTGTCAACGTGTGTAGTCGTCATATGTTTATGAACTCTCTTGTTTTCTCCATGTATCAACAACATTCCTTTTGTTTGCATTGCGATTAGTGTTGCTTCAAAGATTATATTATATTGTTAATTTGTTATGTATGTAATTCAACGAAAAATTGTATCTCGTTACATAAAAAGAACACTTTGAAATTGCGAAACACGCTTGAAGTAGTTTTCGCAAATAAAGACAAGTATATTTGTGCGCTTAGTTGTGTAAATAAATTGTAATTTTAATTGCTAAGTCTTTCAACAGTTAAACTCAACAACATGGTGGTTCAATTTTTTATTTGGTAAGATAAAATGTACACACAATTCACAGAAATCTGTGCTGTATTTTGAAAATATACTTTAGTTGATGATTTCAGTCCTGGATGCATTATTGTGGTGCAAGAAATTTAATAGAATGATTTATATATGTAACACCATGCAATAAAAACATATATATCTATTGATCAATCAGTACTTAGGAGCAGATTAAACCAATTACAATTAAATAATTATGTGTTTCTGCTTAAGTGGAAAATGTGTGATTTACTGTAACTGTTGAAAGGCAGACTTGTATCTAGAATCATATTTATAATTTCTCAAATAATTTGGGAAACAAAAATATTATATTGTGAAAAAATGTAAATTCTGTTTTTGAACTTTCTTTCTGTTATTCAAAACTAGTATTGTATTAATAGTAGCTTTCTGTAATTAATATAAGTCTAAAAATAAACATATCTTTATTTTAAAATTTGTACTATTGATGTAAGATTTGATATCTGTACAAATACAGAATGATCAAGAAAAACTGGGGATTGGTAATTATTGTCCTAAATAATGTATTCATTTTCCTGAATATATTATTGAAATGCATTTAGTATAATACCACTATTTTTATTTTTGTCAAATTAGATATTCAGTCAATCGGAAAAGATACAACTCCAAACTGTTCAATAGTTATAAAAATACCTCATATTTGGTAAAATACAAACAGCAACATTATGCTTAGTGGCCCAGGATCACTTATTGAATAAAATGGTTTATATTACCTTTCCGTTAGTGATCCTATTGTCATCACTCATCATCTTAGGCGACCGGTTTCGGGATTAAAATCCCATCATCAGGCTGTTAAAAAATGTCATATCACTCAAATTGAGGTCGTCGGTAATCACAAAAACACACAAAAATACGGAGTGATATTATGTACCACGCATCTAACAGCCTGATGATGGGATTTTAACCCCGAAACCGGTTGCCTAAAACGACGACAATAGGATCACTGGCGGAAAGCTAAAATAAACCATTTTAAACAATAAACAACAAATATAGTACGCTATATACATGTGCCATAGTTGCTAATTTCATATCTCCACTTAAAAAGTATTTTTGAAATGGGGGAATACAAATTGTCTGTAGATTATTTTTGCGTGTAGGTAATGTATTTTGCGCTAAACCACTTAGTTTCAAAATATTTCACAAATGAAATACCAATTGTCTTACTTCTCCTCTCCTTCCCTCCTACCCAATCCTGACGCTCGAAATGGTGCCACTTTTAATTTGTTGAAGCTATGTTTTAACACAATTCATAAAATTGAAAACTTAAATATTTAGATCTATAGGTTTGTCATATTATACACAATAGCCATACATGACTGACTAACTCTCATTGATGAAGCTTGGAGTCGTTATCCACCTTTACTTGAACCGTTGATGAGAAGATACCTTTTCATGGGGATTATCATGTTGGGTAAAGAATTTGTTTGGCTGCTGATTTCTCTGAATTTCTAAATTTAGATTAATCAGAAAAACATTAGTGAAAAACTACAAACTATCATGTGAGTTGATAAAGGAGATATGTCGCTGCAGATTTAAACTTTGGTGTTCTAACCTGTTGTGGACTGTTAGCCTAGAATTGCAATCTGACTAAGATAATTTACATTCTTGTAATGGAGCAGAAGACAGGTATCTCATATCTCCAGGCAACATAAGCTGTGTTCCAGGTGACGGTGTTTTATTTAACACACTTGAGGTAAGATTAATATTTTGATTCTTAATATACTTTATATGTACTGTAGGCTACCATTGATTCAATAATTGCAATTGTTTCAATAAGAGTTTTAATTACAGGTTGTCAGCTGGTTTGTTGAGAAATCAAGTCAATGAATGACCTGCCAATGTTCTGCTAACTAAGAGATGAAGGAACAAGGACTGTCGCAACTGCTGTGAAGGTCAAGTTTCAGATTTTAAGATGGCAGTGATGAATTACGTTAAACCCACTGGAGTAGAGTTGTTTGAACCGAAACGCCTCTAAATTCCTACCATCGATCAACAAAATATTAGAAACAGTAATCAGAGCGGCCTTGCCTCCTTTATTCCGGTTGATCAGAGTTTTAAATTTTTTTGCCTCTCAACACGGTAGGGCGCCAGGCAATTGGGTTTTTTGGGGGTAGCCAAAAAAATGGAAAATAAAAAAAATTGTGGTTGTATTTGCATGTGATTGCAGTAAACTTCTGATAATTCCTCACGGCCATGCAGACATCATCATCGTGTCCCACGATCAGGGCGAATTCTGACTTGTTTCCCGCGGTCGTGTTGACATAATTTCATAATTATTGTCTTTCATGATCGCGGTAATATATGAACTTATCCCGTGGTCCTGATGAGATTATAATCGTCTACCGCGAATGAGGCAAAATTATTATCGTTTCCTGCGGTCATATAGACATATCATCATCTTGCGCAGTCGCGGTAAAATTCGGGCCATCCCTTGCGGCCGTAAAGACATAATTATCGTCTCCCGCGATTGTGGCAAAATGTTAATCATATCCTGCAGTCGTGTGGAGATCGTCATCGTCTACTGTGATCGCGGCAATATTCTTATCATGCCTTATTCTTATATGCAGTATTCTTATTATGGCTCTGCAGATATCTTCTTGCGCTATCGAGGCAAAATCATGATCATATCCCGCGGTTGTGTAGACATTATTTCTGCGATCTCAGCAAAATTATTCTGATCATCAAATTATTCGGCCGTGTCTAGACAATAGACATATTATTGCCTCCCGCGGTCACGAAAATGTCGTTGTGGAAAGCACGATCGCAGTAAATTGAAATTCACGCATCATTCCCATTTAAAATTTCCTGGGGGTTTTTTTCCGGGAGCGCACACACCATTATATATACAGTATTGCAATGGGGATTGGGGCGCTCACAGGGTCAAAAACGGGCCTACCTCTCAGTAGTATTTAGACTTACACATTGTACTACCCGTATATTTCTATTGTAAAATCTTAAGCTTGTTTTATTTTGATTTTCAAGTTATGCTCATGTCTGAGTTAACTAAATGTTTCTTTTTCATTTCAGGCTGAGTTTTGGTGCACTTTCATTAAGTTACTTTACCAAATGACAAGCAGCAGTTAACAAATTAATTGTGCTAGTAGGTTGGAATGGTGTCAGTATTGGAAAAGTTTCAGACATACACCACGCAAATCCTTATATTCTCTTCAGAAAAACACTAGGTGATAAACTTAAGGGATTATAAATCAAATCTGGAAAACTAAGATGAAGATCTGAAAAAGGAGGATGATGACAACCCTTCGCTGTTATCACTCATATTTAACTGAAGGTACTAGTTTAGTTGTATCTAGGCCTTACATATACAGTTCCTAGAAGACTGCCACTCTCAGATTGCTAATTCAATTAGCAGGCTTGACCCGCTATTAGCTACATGTGCTGCAAACATCCAGAGAAAATCACACAATACGTCAACTATGTACCTGTAGCAACTTCCAAATAAATCATCAATATTTTAAGATCAACCTGTAATATGTTTTAGCCCTTTAAACCCTAAACAAAATGGTGCAATGTCCATTGCTATAAAAATTCTAGGTGAGCGAGTTCAAAAATTTCACATTAAATAAAGAACACAAAAATAAGTTTGTAAAATGAATTTTATTTCAACAATTTTACATACGTATACAAAACTTGTGTATAATATAAATCTGAGTAAAAACTTATGAAAAAATACAAAATATTATATATTTTACAACATTTTTCTATTCAACAAAATATACATCCAAGCAAAAAAGAAAAAAGCATACAGTATAACCCCTCTTAATCGACCTCGCATTAAACGATAATTGGATTATCCGTCCTTGCTCGTTAAATATAACAGTTTACAAAAGTTTGTTATAACTTTTGATGGCAGTTCGGTTTATCAGCCGCTTTTTAGGAATCGCGACATTTCAGCTCCCACGCTCAGCGATGGGAATAATACGCTGAACTCTACAGGATGTTACTAAGAATACATTATTTTGTATATACCCTAAAAAATATTGCACATCATGTCTTGTAACTAAATGGTTGCATGTATCTTTAATTTCAACAAGTTCTTTATTGTATTATGATAGATTTGGAAAGCATCAATTACTGAAGGTATTAAAATAAAATTTTTTGACACTTGCCTAGGATTGTAATAATGCCACTGAAAGCATTGGACTTTTTGAGTTTATTTGTAACTTGTCTATTGTCTTAAGGAAAAAAGGAGATAAGTGTAGTTTATTTTGTAAATAATGCACACATAACTTATAAATAATGATCATATAATTTCAAATGAATAGCACTTCATTTTTAGAGGTGTTTTAGGGATTGCCCGTTTTTAATCAACCTTTTGAATTATCCGACCCGTGTCCGGTCCCTTTAGGATCGTATAAGAGGGGTTTTACTGTATTTATGTTTTAGATTTTTTTTTAGAAGACTGAGATTGTGTTCACAAATTTTGACACAAGATGGAAAAATCAGTCTCTTCTGTAGTTAATTGAAAAAACCCAAAATTTGGAATGTTAAATAATTAAAAATATAACCACGTTTTTAACTTAAGTTGGGAGTATTAAAAAAAGTTATGATGTGTAACAAATCAATACATTCAAATTTGATTAGTTTGTACAGTTACTTCCTTAAGCATACTTATTGCTGTTTAGTGACAAAAATATAAAAAAGTACAACTTTTCAGAAAGCCATTGAGCAGGTTACAAGTTTCAGAGTTGAAAAGCTGGTTGAATAAACTTTTTGTCAGTTTATACAAAATATACAATCCACTTTGGTGTTTCACTTTGGCGGCTTTCAGCACCTTTATTTACAAAAATAGTAGTCTAGATAACAATAAAAGATTCAATATAATGTATTTCAAGCTACTAACATTGTATAGTTAACAGATCTGGCGGAGTATTTGTTTAGGCAATTAATATAAAATTTTATCATAATAAGGAAGCACTTGACATTTCATAAACCATTTCCTAAATTATTGCCAAACCTATTATTTAAACATCTGCGTGCTAACAATTGCGTGTAACATATTGTACAGACAAATATGAAGAAAAAAAACTACATTTACTGGAAGACAGTATTATCACTTTCCCCTCGTTTTTGTAATCATTGGTTAAGGATGAGAAATACAACTAATCAACAGGGTATGGATACAAAGATTTTGTAAGATTAAAAGATGATAAAAAAATTTATAGACACAAATAAAGTACAGTAGACTCCATAATTTTTAAATCTGTTTTTGTTTTGGTCAGCCACACATGTGCAGCTTTGTTCTAATACAACTAAATCGAACCAATTCCAAACCACAGATTAGCTTTGTTTCACAATGGGCCTTATTATCAATACATACAAGTCTACAACCAATTGTCCTTTTATTTCACAGACCAGTCTTTGAGCTTTAATAATTTTAAAAAGAAACTTTCAGAAAAACTGATTGCACTTTGTCCTTATGATATGAATTCATTTTTATCCCGTCAACTGTAATCTTAATATTTGTATATATTTATTATGTGTAAACTATTTATAATACATGATTTGTACCGACATGTCACATATTCATTGCTAATATTCATCCTCTGTATTGTGAATTTTTGTGATGAATTAATTTATTTGATTTGAACCTCTGACAACATAACATGACCGTCTAGTGCAGTTTTTTATTCCTTTATGACTAAACTCAGAAATATACTAATTTTGCTAACACAAAGAACGATCAGGCCCGTTTTTGACCCTATTAGCGCCCTAGGCACAACTAATAGTAGCGCCCCTTTGCAATATATATATAAAGGTGTCCACCGACCGGGAAATCCGGGAATCATGCGGGAATTTTATGAACCGGGAATTATGTGTGAATTTTGTATTTCTACCTGGAGTTTTCAAATTACAGTGATCGCTTATGACAACAGTTTCCGTGACCGCGGGAGACGATAATATGTCTTCACTCGGCCGCGAGATATTCAGAATATTGCCACGATCACGGAAGACGATGATAATGTCTACACGACCGCGCGAATCAGCAAGAATTTTACCGCGATCGCGGAAGACAATGATGATCTTCACACAACTGCAGAACATGATTAACATTTTGCTGCAATCGCGGGAGACGATTACCATGTATACACGACCGCGGGAGACGGTTACGATGTCTACAGGACCGCGGGAGATACAATAATGATTTACACGGCCGCGAGGGACGATCGGAATTATGCCACGATCGCGCAAGACAATGATAATGTCCACATGAATGACCGCGGGAAAAAATCAGAATTTTGCCTCATTAACGGAAGACAATGATCTCCATATGTGCACAGAGGATGATTAAAATTTTTCCACAATCGCAGGAGACGATTACGATGTCTACAGGACCGCGGGAGATACAATAATGATTTCTACACGGCCGCGAGGGATGATCAGAATATTGCCGCGATCACGGAAGACGATGATAATGGCCACACGATCGCGGGAAAAGTTCAGTAATTTGCCTAATTTGCGGAAGAGGATGATGATATCCACAAGACCGAGGAAGATGATTACCATTTTGTCACAATCACGGGAGATGATTAATATGTTCACACGACCGCGGGGGACGATATAATGATGTCTTCACGGCCGCGAGGGGTGGTCAGAATTTGACCGCGATCGCGCAAGACGAAGATAATGTCCTTACGACCGCGGGAAAAGATCAGAATTTTGCCTCATTTGCGGTAGACGATGATAATAGCTTCACGACCGTAGGATATGCTTATGTATTGCCTCGATCATGGAAGACGATAATTATGTCTAAACGACCCGACCGCGGAAAATAGTAAGAATCTCGCCGCAAACGCGGGAGACGATTACGATGTCTACACGGCCGCGAGGGATTATCAGAAGTTAACCGCAATCGCATGCAAACAACCACCAATTTTTGTTTATTTTCCAAATTTTTTGGCGCCCCCCAAAAAAGCCAATTGCCTCGCGCCCTAGGCACGTGCCTATCGTGCCTATTCGGTAAATCGGCCCTGAGAACGATTTTGAAATGTATTCATTCATTCTTTTTCAAGCTCTAACGATTCAGACGTTTTAAAATTCAGACTAGGTCAAGGTTCCCGGGGTTTGAACAAAAGGGAGTTAGTACACTTGCGGACAAAAAACAAAGTGCTTAAGTAATTTAATAAAGTAATTTTATGAAATTACACTTTACTTGTTATTGCGGTTTGTACCATAAAAAATCTTGGGGTAATACAAATTTAGTGATATTTAAATTCCTCTGTATGAGGGGCCTTGTAAGACCGCTACCGCCCTCGGCCTTGTTGGTAGTATTGGACTATATTTTTCGTCAAATAACAATGATTTTGATTGATTGAAGATCTTTTACAACCGACAGTTCAATTAGTCAAACACATAAAAAACATTTTGGCAATTGTTTCCTACAAAACCTAGAGTCAAAATTTTTTTAATTGTTATACCAAGAAAATGGCATTTAATTTGATTCAACTGCAAATAATTATGTAAGGATCCATTTAATCATGGTTTTAGGCTATACATTTTGATCTTTGTATTGGCCAGATGTTTAATCTTAATGCTCCCGGTGGTGAAATCTAAGTCAGGGTGTGTAGAGTATTTTATTGAACTTAAAGCCATGACTTTTCATTACTTAACGCTCTTTACTTTAAAATGTTAGAAGAAATCAGTCATAACTCCAATGGAGTCATTATGTCCATTGACTTTAAAAATTACATGAGGCTAAATTAAGAAAAATCTGTCAAACAAGAGAAGTAATTGGATTTTTTAACTGATTTAAGTGGCCTTACAGCCCAATATGATCAAACTGGGTTTTTTTAGAGTTGGAGGCACTTATCTTGATAACTTTCCTAACCTAATTCTGAAAATTGTCTATATTGGCTAGCATAAAAACAGAAAAATTATCCCCCATATTAAAACTGGTTTACAAAACCAATAGAACGTAAAAATTGCAATGGTTATGATAGTCTATAAAATACAGCATTTGGAAATTGTGAGGTAAATATAAAAAATATTTTGCGTACGAAAATGCTTATCAACAGAGATATGAACACAAGGGTTTGTAAATAGTTTGACACGCATGGTCAATGCACATTTCATATCAGACTATCTCCATTCCAGTGACTCACCAGAGATTAAGCATCTTGTGTTTCTAGTGACACAACTTCTAGCAACTCACGTTTCTTAGTATACAATGGAATATCACTTTAAAAGAGAAATGCGGATGGAATCAAAATTGTACATTTGATTTGAAATAGTTGAAATAAATAAAATTAAAATGTTTAGATATTCATGTTGAATTCCTATAAATAAAAAATAGTTTAGTTATCAAAGCAGTTTTGATAAACAAAACGTCACCTAATAAAGTTAACATAGCAATAATTTGTTCCCAAGGCACATATGTTTTTCTTTAATTTACATTATTGAGAAAGTTTTACATCAAATGTTCACAACTGATCAGTTTGTAATCAACTGTGGGTAAAATTGAGTAGGCCTACAGTATTTACTAACTAATTGAGAAAAGAAATTACAGTACCTTCATACAAAATGGGAGCTGCATGTAATGGATTTATAATTTTGTTTTTACTGACCAAAATTCAACTATTAGATCAACAAATAAGATGGGGATACAACTGCGAGAATTTTAACCTAAATAATCATTTCAATTCTTTAAGACAGCTTGCACATATAGTACTTAGGTACGGTATGAGTCTAGAATGGAGTGAGATGTGTTACTGACTACAACAATCAAAGAGTTATATGATAATAGGCAGTTATATAATGCAGAAATGTGTTTGAACAAGTCAGTCTTATAAATTAAGTTAATATTTCAATCTTCTGGGTAGTAAACAGTAAGAGAGGAATATAGTAAAAAAAAAAAACGGTCACCTATTTGGTTTAGTTGTGTTTAGAAACATTTTCTGTACAGCTGCGAAGCACTCTGTATTAAAGTTAGAATCATAATAATTTATGTATGAAGAGGACAATAGTAACAAATAGAGTTCAGTATGGTATTTATTGGACGAAATGATACATGAATTTCAATTTTGTGTACTTCAAGCTCAGTTAAATATTAAAGTGGACCAGTTTAATTTATAATTATTAATAAATTGCTAGTAAGAGATCAAAAATATGTACAAATTCAATCAAAACTTCGGCTGATGATGATGTTTGGCTAACCTTACTAGGCAAAATGAAACATCATCAAACACTAATAATTATTTAAGTTTGTAAGTGTAACACATCACATGTTACACATTATATATTTTCCTCTAAGCAGTAAGCACCTTTTAAAACATTCAGACACACAGAAAGGCGAGACCCTGAAAACACTAATATCACAGGGATGTCTTAAGTAGGAATTTACCTAAGGCACAACCCGAAGTTAGTGCCGAGCTTAGAATCAAGTAGAAAAATAGCAATTGTTATCCATCTATTTACAAACATTTAAAAAATTAACAAAAATAATACAGTTATTTATAGATTTTATACATGTATACAATCGGTTATAACAATAATGTAGCGTATAAAAATAAATATAACAATTAGACTCTGATAAATAGATAATTGTGTCAAAGGCTACCTGACCATGTCAGTACGTCATTGCAGCATTAACGATTCTAAGTTTCGGTGCAGGATTGTGTCTTTGACCGCGTTGAATACAACTTTGATGTTTTCCGTGTCCACAGCTGTTGTGAAGTGGTGGAAGAGAGGTTTCCGAGGGTCCCGTTTCACACAGCGGAAGTAGTCAACGAGGAATTCCTGGACATCGACTAGACTCCGCTCGTTCCCCGAGAACTGAGGGAAGAACCAACGAATGTTTGTCTCTCCTGCCTTAAGCTTCTCCGCCAACAGGTCGGTTTTGTTAAGAAACAGGATTATAGAAACTCCTCGGAACACCAGGTTGTTGACGATTGTGTCAAAAATGTTCTTAGACTCTTCCAAACGGTTTGTTTTTCTGAAATCACAAGATCCTGTTAATCTGTTGAAAAAAATTAATGCAAGAAACAACATCCTAGAAATAGTTTGTTAAAAAACTAAAAAGTGTTTCTCTAAATCAATGTTCTCTAAAGAAATTGGGAGATTTGACATCAAGTTTTCATTGGACAACAGTTATAGGTCTATGGATTATAGATAGCCAAAAATGACAAGTCGGATTTGAACCAAAGCTTTTATTTAAAACATAAGTACGGTACTACACTCTACTAGTCCAGTTTCGCACCATCATCACACATTTAAATTACATAGAGACTATTAAATATTTTAAAAAGTACAATAATTCAATAATTCATGTAGAGGTCCAGAATCAAGAAAAATATCTAGAAAACAGAAACGTACATACCTGTCTTCAACAAGGACTTGATCAAATTCTGAAGAGGATACAAGGAAGAGAATAGACGTAACAGAATCGAAACACTGAAACCATTTCTGGCGCTGTGACCGTTGTCCCCCGACATCGACAAAGCGGAAGGGTATGTTGTTGATGGGAATCACGAACTCTGAGATTCCCTTGGTTGCCTTCCGTGCATGAAGAATGTCCTTGTTATTGGGGATGAAGTCCTAAAACAAGAAACTGAGTTTTATAAACCTTGCACAGTAGTGGTATGTTAAGCAAAATCAATATATAAACAAGAAAAATTATACAATAAATATTAACTCTTCACTGCATAAAGGATCGCGTCTAGCATTATATTCGACACAGCAATAAAAATAGTTGAAAATGGATACAAACAAAAGTGTGCACCTGATAAGAAAGATTAGGGGAGGGGACAAGTAAACAATAACACCGGCATACACTTTATACTTTCTTATTAAATGGCGACCATACAAAGTAGGTATTTTAAGCCAAGTATGAATGTAGATGAGTGTAGGATGAGTGGCGCGATCTTGTAGTCTTGTTAGTGACTAAGGCCGACTTTATCCTTAGACAGCTATTAATTAATAGCCCATACAGCTAATGGCAACCTAGAAACCCACAGTTTATAGTGGAATCCGAACCACATTTTTCCTTGGTTTATACAAATTGGTCTAATTATCAGGATAGCACTGCGGATAGTCGTTACAGCGGTCAGTCTAGACTCAACTTCCGTGTCGCCCGCCGCTCGACCGATCGGTACCATAATAGTTATTGGTAATTTTTTGTGTTTTATGTTAAGTGTTTTAAGTGTTGTAAAACTGTTAATCTCAATGTTTTATAAAAAAAACAACGTGTTTGCAATAACGAAAAGCAATGACGTCCGCCTGAAGATGATCCCGTGAGGATCGAAACCGGTTGCCTTTCAAGGTCACAAGGATCACTTGACAGCAGGTAATTTCACCAGTAAACGTAATATTATAAACATATTCTTCAGTAGACTCTCAAAGTTTAATTTTATTAAAAAAAGGATATTTCAAAGACATAGCAAACAATAACGAAAACTAAATTAGAATGACAAAACTAATACAGACCATTAGTACGTTTCATTAGGCCTATGTGATTAAAAATTCAATTGCACTATGGAACAAAATGGTTGCTTGTATCTTTCATTTCGACAAAAGGTTCTGTACTGTATTACGATGGATTCGGAAAGCATCAATTAATACATTACAGTACTAAAGTTATTAAAATAAGAATTGTTATTGACTCTTGCCTAGTACTATAATCTATTCCACTAAAAGTATGCCTATTTGACTTAACCGTGTTTTGTGTTTATTTGTGACTATTCTATCAATACGAAAAAAAGGAGATAAGAGTAAAGTCTATTTTATAATTAATGCAAGAATGACTTCAAAATAATGATTATATAATTCCAAATGAATAGCACTTCATTATGTTATGATTTTAGGGATTGCCCGTTTTAACCGACCTTTTGAGTTATCCGACCTAAGTCCGGTCCCATTAGGGTCAGTTAAGAGGGGGTCTACTGTAATATGAGCTCACATTATTATGTACCCTACCTTATATACTTTTAATCATCATGGAACATACTGATCATTTTGCATTTATAGAGAGAGACTATACGAATAGAATTGTTTTAAATAACAATCATTGCAGAGGTCGCATTAACTGGTTAAATGACTTGCCGTATTGACTATTTTTATCTCGAGTACAATTTGTTAGTGATGACACGACCTTCAACTTTGACTGATAACCGAATGACCTTTTGCTTCAACAATATAGTTTGCTATAGCCATAGCCTAGATATGATGAATAATTTTCCCCAACCTAAAAGTATCTCTTTCAATAATTGAAAGATCAATTAAAAGACAATCAATTATTGACTGTTCAAAATTTAAAAAAAATTAGTAACTTAGGCCTACCTAATTAGGCTATTCCAAATACCCATTCCCCAATTCTTCCATATTTTAAACGTGTTTGTCATGATGAAGCAAAAATTTATTTCTGTTCCGAAGAAAAAAAATCATCTTGTTTACTTTCTCATTGTGTTAGCCTGTAACTTATGTTTAAATAAAGTAAATTGACCCCTCTATCAGCGTATAGACATGACATAATTTTAGTAGCTAGGTAGGCCTACCTTATTAACCATAAGTTTGAATAATAGCAAAATGTGAAGGAAACCATTTTTGGAGATAATTTATGCAAGAATATTGAAGATTAATTTTACGTTTAGTGAATTTTAGTAGGCCTAATTTAGCTTAATGGTGCAGTACTGTACCCCGGATATTTAACTTGAAACCAATGGAGTTTAACAAAGTTACTCACATATGTGTAAAATTTTAAGCTATGGTATTACATTATGGGGGACAGCCACAGATGTCCACAAAGTTTTTAAAAAACAAAAGTCAATTATCAGAACTCTTACAAATTGCCCCAAAATCAAAACAGTTTTAGTAGAAAAAGCATATTACACTCTTGAGGAATTTTTCAACGACTCCTGGTAACAGACACCCATTCTCTCATCAACCTCTCCTAACATAAACAGTTCCACCATGCTGTAGCTTTTGTAGGGGTACTTTACCAGCTAGATCTTAGGTTTTTTATATATTTAGAATTCCTTTTTTATTAGAAACCTTGAAAATGTACCTGTCTGTGTATTGGTATTACGTTTGTAATAAATGTAACAGATGTTATGTGCAATAAAAAAATTGTCATTTGTCACTCACTTACACTTTACATTCTAATAGGCTATTATGACATGTTTGTAGCCTAGAGCTAACCGTTTGTAGTTATCTGACCAAGGCTCGATAGGGTTAAGAGGGGGATACCGTAAGCTACTAACAGCTTTTAAACGTATAATATTCAAAATCTAAAAAAATTCTACTTCACTAACTAGGTCGGTACCTACCCTACTAAAATTAGCTGTTAGACTTATTTTCTAGCATACTTCAGTACCGTACCTAGTATGTAGAATATTTGTTGACATATCGAAAAATGTTTAACAATAAGAACCTAAGGCTGCTGAGGCTACCCTACTGTAAACCTAGGCCTACTCTGTGTCCAAAACATAACCAACCTGAACACACATACTGTTGACTTAAAACCTTTCGGTGAGATACAGACCAATTTATATGAACAATATTTATCGTAGTTGTCAGCTGATATGTTTCAATTTGTTAATATCGATATATCGAGAAAAAAAACCATCGATAATAATGAATGTTCCCTTTAACAGGAAAGTACCCAACTTTATTAAAGAATTTTTTGGCACCGAGACCTTTTATTTTTAATTAAATATATAAACAATAATCCTAAATCACTAGGGGGCTGGTGGGAATTCGGGGTTTTGGGTGGGGGAGATAAAATGTGGTTAATTATGGGGAGAAAAGGGTAATTCGACGGGTAAAAGGGTAATTTATAGGTAATTACTAATTACCCAGCAAGAATGGGAAATTAGTCTGTATAAATGGGTACTTTCCTTTGCCGCCGACGACGAGCAGAGCCGGCAGAGACAGGAAGACCATCAGAATTGTATTGTACCACAAATAAAAACAATAATAAAGTAAAAATAAAGTTGTTTGTTTATTTTATCCTATATATTTAGTCAAAAAATGGCTTTAAATATTTAAACAGGTCAATAAAAAGTGGTATAGGCTAACATCTATCACTTGTGTGAATAGCCTATCCTTAAGTTTCCTCTAAAAACGTGAAGTTAAGTTTTCAGTCTTCTTTTGTTTGAATATTGATAGTTTTATTTATTCAAGTTCATTAAAAACGATCTTTTCATAATCAATAATTATTTTTTCCTCATGAAATCATAGCCTACAGCAAGTTTGGTTGGTTTGGTTACTTTAAAACAGTTTCATTTCATAATGACCATTATTTTTTCCTCTGGAAATCATTCAGCAAGTTTGGTTGGTTTGGTTAGTTTAGAACAGTATAATGGAGTATGATTTATCTATGGTATAATTTCATAATCACCAATTATTTTTTTCTCAACAAGTGAGTGTTCATAAGATCTACATGTTGAAATCTTAACTGCAGTGCTTTGCTATTAAAAACGGGATTTTACAAGAAATATAGTGGGAATTCAGGTTAAATTGAGAGAATTCTAGAGGTAATTGTGGTACAGTGACCTGTCTCTGCAACTGCATTTCTATTGTTTGTGGTTTGTGGTAAAACAGATCAACAGATGATGTAATTGTGCAGATTTCTGATTGGCAGATGATTTCTTTCGTGTAGTAATCTGATTGGCTGGTGGTTTTGTTGTTACCTAGTTGTTTGTTTTGAAACGTCTCCATGACTCCATGTTGTTAGTTCAAAGTGAAGTAGTGACAAAGGAGGACGTAGCTCAAATTTGTGTTTAGTTTTCATTCTGATTGTGTCGGAAAATCACGTTTGGACATTATGTAGAAAACGGGGTTATTCCTGGTGAAATGTGTGGATACCTATCAATATGTATTTGTTGGACGAAGTGATTTTAATTTTCGTTGTAGGCTAGTTGCTGTTGCTGGTTGAGCTAAAGACATGGTGCTCTCCGTGTGCCGGTTTTGGTTATCTTTGACTTTGAGTGAGACAGCAGTAAATTATGTCGAGTGCATATTCCTTGTGAATTTTTCACATCGATGTAGTGAATCCAACATTCTTGAAGTGTGTAATTGTGTAAGATTGGTGTATTGAGATTTTGGAGGAACTGTTGTTAGGGTCGGTTTTATTTAATTCCAGTCAATATTTGGGACTGGAATTGCTTTTCCTTTCCCCCCAATTATTATCCACCAAAACTTATTTAATTTTATACACTTTTTACACAATTTCACACTTCAGAAAGTGTTTTTAAGCTGGGGTCTGGGTCCTAAATTTGTACCGGCATGCACTGTGGATGCAGTGCTCCCTGCTGTGGATTAACGTCCGCACGAGTGAGTACTGCGACTATCCGCAGTACTATCCTGATAATTAGACCAGTTTGTATATAGGCCTACCAAGGCAAAAATGTGGTTCGGATTCCACTGTAGTGAGCTGACAGATGTTTTAAAGAGTTTTATAGAATTTTGGTTATGAAGAGACAAATATCAAGAGACACGGCATTAACCGAAGCTTCATTTTTCGTGATTTGGACACATGTTCGCACGTTTTTCTTAGAGTGGATGCTATGAGAAAATCTTTACGACATCCATACACCGGACCTCATCCAGTGATCAAGAAAGACAGTAAAACTATCACAATAAAAGTGAATGGTTCTCATGTGAAAGTTAGTCTTGACAGAGTTAAACCGGCCTATGTCCTTCAGAATGATGAAGTTAAGCCCTCAACTGTATCTCAAACTTCAAAAGATGTGGATTTTCAAAAGTTGTATACGACAAAGTCTGGAAGAAAAGTGACATTCAAGAATCTAATTTCAGTTTGATGGAAATTGCCTTTGTCCTTGCTGTTATTAGCCTATTATTATTTTTTTGTTATTGGTTATTATTTTTGTGACTTTTTGGAACCCTCCAAAAACTCCATGGACTTCCAGTCTTCGTAGGGGGCTCCTGTAGTGAGCTGACAGATTTATCAGCTGACAGATGTTTTAAAGAGTTTTATTGAATTTTGGTTGCTATGAAGAGACAAATAAACAAAGAGATTCTTTTAGGCTTTTCAACCAAAGTGGTTCATTTTTATTTTCTCCAAGCAATTAATTATTAATTACGGTACTTTTCAAAGTTTGATAAATTAAACAATAGGCTAATATTTAGTGGAAACCTCAAGACTTTTATTTTTATATACTTTTTATACTTTTTTATTTTTATTAGTGTTACAGGAATGGATGTCATTATTAAGTCTTGTTTTTAATAATGACATCCATTCCTATAACACTAGAAGTAGTAGAAATGTTCATATTGATCAAGCTAGGTTAGCTAAAACTTTAAGAAGCCATTCATGTGTAGGTGTTAGACTTTTTAACCATTTGCCTTTAGATATAAGATTTGCCTTTTCCTAGTTTTAAAAAAGCCATTCACCTTTTGCTAGTCAACAATCCTTCCTACTGTATTAAGGAGTATTATGAAAGATGTTTGAATCTGTGATACTGTTACCGGTAATTGTTTTTGTAGGTAGCTGTGTTATTGTTATTCATATAGGCTAAATCTGTGATATTTAATTTTATTATTTTAATAATTATTGTACTTGACAAGGTCGTATGCACTGTAAATTTTGTGTTCTTAGACCAATAAATCTCTTGACTCTTGACTCTTGATTTAAGGTATTTTTCCTATTTAAATGAGTTCTTTTCACTAAACCACTATAAACTGTAGGTCCCTTAGTTGCCATTAGCTGTATGGGCTATTAATTAACAGCTGTGTCTAAGGAATGTCGGCCTTAGTCACTAACAAGACTACAAGATCGCGCCACTCATCCTACACTCATCTCCATTCATAGTTGGCTAAAAATATCTACTTTGTATGGTCGCCATTTAATAAGAAAGTACTGGTATTAAAGTATGTTACATCTAGGCCTACTTAAGCTGTAGGTCTAAGTTCCTGGTAATTTTGGGGTTACCATGGGAAAGATAGCAGTAAGTTGTTGGGAGCCATTCAAAGGCCTCAGGGACGATAAGTTACTAGTGCAAGAGCATCTGACATCGTATCCCATAGGTCTGTGTGTAAATTTGATTTAGGCTACTGCCAAAACGCCACTCATATGATTCATGCTCCAGTTTTGTCGTAAACCTGCCCTTCTCTTTTCAATCCTCTATTTCTTAACTTATCTGAGTTAAATCAGCTTAAAATGTAGCATACAGCAGTTAAAAGTTAGTAATGGACTTCCTTGTGTATTTAACGAACCTATTGCTTTCTTCCCTAATCTACAGAATTAAATGCCTATTTTTATCATCGCTTTCTTCCCTAAGCTCTTGGCCTACATAATTAAATACCGTACCTATTTTTATCTTCTAACAAGACCCCATTGTCTCCTATGCCTCTAACTTACTAATTATGTTTTTCTTTAACAGTAAATTGCCAGGTAAAAGAAAAAGATGCAATAGGTCTTACGTGTCTACACATTTTGCCATCATGAAACTAAGTTAAGCCGGGTTTACACAATGCCAGTTGGCGAGACAATTGTCAGGAGACAACTGACTGGCTTGAAATTACTGGCTTCGTCTAAACACTTCAGGCCAATTGCCCCGAAATTCAGTTGTCTCTGAGAGTAGACTGAGGACAATGAGCTGGGCCCAGTGAGGCCTCCATCCCTCGAAAGCCCAGTTGTCGTGACAATTGACGCCGTGTAAATTGTGTAGAGGCCAATACTTAGCACTGTCTTGTCTTTTGGCAGTTAGTAGGTAGGCCTACCCTGGTACAAGGTAAATTGCCTGGGCAAGTGTTGGCGAAGTGTGAACAGGTTCTCGTTTAACGTGCCTGGCCTACGACAATTCTGCAACCACGTGATGACAATTGGCTTGCCTATTGGCATCGTGTAAACCCGGCTTTACAGTGACACCTACAACAGGCAAAAATTCACCGCTTATGCCATAGCCACTGCCGTCGTTTACGTGTTGCTCAGGTTGCTGCTTAAGTTACTCTTGTACCAACCCTGAGGCCAAACGGTTTTACCAAGTTTGCCTTCGGAGTGTGATTTTTAAACACAGGCCTACAACTATGACAAGTGGGTGTTAGTAGCCTAGAAGGAGAAGTTTTCCCAAGAGTAACTTGCAGACAACGAAAAGTGTTAGCTTCCTAAAACCTTAGGCCTACACATAACCTGAAAAGTAAATCTTAACTTACCAGTCTGGATATCCTGTCCAAATTGTCAAGAAAATATTGCACAGAATCACTAAGCTGGTACTCTCTTCTCCTTTCAAATGCACGACGGATACCAGAATCCCTCCAAAGACTATATAAGGTTGGAGAATAGTTAATAAAAAGTCTCGTATCAAGCGCTGCAACATTATCAAAATTAAGGATGCAATTGCCACACTCCGCGTTTTGAGGGTTTTCCCAAGGAATGTTCAGTTTGTTTCTTGCGTCAACGAGCACTTTCATACCTCTCATAATATTCTGATAAATCACAAGTTGATATTCTTTGACAAGTTCAGGTTCAAATTTAATTCCATGGATAATCCTCATCTGCTTCAGGAACGTCGACTTCCCACTTTCACCAGCACCAAGTAACAAAAGTTTCACTTGTCTTCTGAACAAGTGTTTGTCCTTTTCTAACATTTTATCGATTTCTTGACTTCTATGACGTTGTTCAATTTCTTCTGGACTAAATTTAAAACGAAGGCAACACGGACATGACCACACAACACTCGCCATCTTACTCTGACCTCACCCTCCAATCTCTAAACTCTGTAGTAAACTCTCTAAACACAAACACATTCTCGGCCCATGTCGGCCCGATTGACAAGTTAGTGACGACTACGACTAAACTTACTCACTGACTGGGCTCTGGACTCGGACTGAGACTGACTTGACTTTAATTTAGTGACTTCTGACTTCGACTTCACTCGAATTCACGAATCGAAACGGCTGAGTGAACAGGCGACGACTGACGAGACGAGGCGAGGCGAGGCAACTCAGTAAGGCTCCCTTCACACTGGGCCACCATGGTGGCTACGTTACATTAGCATTGATTTAAATGGGACATATTTACTTTGAGCTTTGGTGGCGCGTCTGGCCGCGCGACCAGAAATGCGGTGGCTGGGGGTTGCAAATTTTTCAACAACACCAGTCTGGTAGCGCCACCACGTCGCACCATGGTTTCTTATCGGCCTGTTCAGTGTAGAGCACTGAGCTATAATTAGAGGTGAGTCGGGACTGGAGTATATGATACTTTGTATCGGATACTCGCCAGTCCCGTGTGTAACTGTTACTCAAAACCAAAAGTATCTGATACTGGAGTACTCGTTTCTACTATTGAGTACTGGTACTGCTAAGCCTTCAATCCAGTACCAGGACTCGTCTCGGGTATCAGTTTAGTAGTAGCCTACTCGTTTAAACTTAACTGAGTATTATAGCTGAAAATACCATAATCATTTGTTAGTAATAGCAAATTCCACAAATATGAAAACTGCTTTCACTGATCACTATAAATGAATAAACTGCTTAAGAACACATAGTAATCATTTTGTAAAGGAACTGAGTACTACCAGTGGTATCCACTAATGGTATTTGGTATTATACTGATACAGGAACACTCTACGGGTACAAAATCCCGTCGGCCGTGATGAGTACTCATGAGTACAAAGTAATCATCAAAAGTAACTGATACTCGAGAGTACCAGTACCGGTAGTAATCAGTATTTCGATGTACTCATTTAGCCCATCTCTAGCTATAATTCTATTTTAGCTCAGTGGTGTAGAGATGTGTAGCTGCAGCTGGAACTACATTTATCCACCGTTCCGAGAGTGGAACTCGTTCCACCGTTCCAAGCGGAACCACAATCCAGTTCCAGTTCCACTGGAACTACTTTTTCAGCTGCAGCTCGGTGGAACCATCTTTTTGTCTATGGTGGAACCCACTGTGGAACCGGGTGGAACGATTTGAATGTAGTTCCGCACAAACAGCTGCAGCCTTTTTGTAAATTTCTAAAGATAAGTTCCGGAGTAACTGGATTTGTAAAACACATACAGTTACAACAAAACAGCTGCAGCTGATGCGTTTTGACTTATTTACGGTTCAAAAGTTATTGTAAATTATTTTTCCATAAAAACCCTATAATATAACGAAAAATAGGAATTTAGGGAAACATTCTGTTTTGATTTAACTTTTAGTATGTTATAGTCCTTAAAGATTTGAACGTTTTTTAATTTTGATTTTTAATGGGGATTTTCCCATAAAATAACAGGAAAATTGATTTTCTCGAAAATGGCCAAAACGATTTTCTTAAAAATGTAGTTTGTTATTGTCATTTAAATTCTGAACAAAATGGTGCAAATCCCATTTCCGTAAAAATTACGGTTCAAAAGTCATTGTAACTTATGTAATTTTCCCATAAAAACCCCAAAAATCGGATTTTCTTAGAAAAGCTGGTTTTAAACAAAATTAATATGTAGTGGTCCTTATAATTAAAAAAAAAGTACCCCATTACTGTAACAATTACGGTTCAAAAATTATGGCCAACTTTTGTGATTTTTAACTCTTAAATATCATATTTACTCTCACCGCTTATGGGATAATCCTCAATGCTGATACCGTTTATTTTTTTATTTTTTTAGTTTCATTGTGTGATGGTCTGAAATCCAAAAGTCCTACACTCCAAAAGTCAGATACACTCACTTAGCTGTTCTAGTGAGGTGATAGGGTGTAAGAGATTGCTACAGGTGTGACTTAACGTGTAATAAAACAAATAAATTTAGAAAACAAAAGAAGAACAAAGAGTGACAACACTAAATAACACTTTATACACTAAATAAGAACTTGGAAAAACTAAGAGCAACAATTTATAGTAGGAAGAGAATTTACAACGTTAAGTTAGTTAAAGAAAAGAAAAAATAGAAAAATAAAAAGATTGAGTTAATAACAAATTACATGACTTGATTGTTTTACATCTCTTTATAAATTTAGTTATATTTTTTTACATACTTCCAACGGTCCCTGAAGCACACGCAGCCACAACACGCCCACTCAGATCTTTGTTCCTGCCCGCGTTAATCTCCTTGATTTTTCTCCCAGGTCCTCCAAGACTCGTCACCCCTCCATCTTCTACATTAGACCTTCTCATTGGCTAATTACGAATAAGGTGAGTGGCTTATTAGTACAGTAAAAATATGTTTTGACCCCAAAAAAAAAAATTAGCACAACCGGGGAATTTGATACAGATGTTGGGTGTACCTTCCTCTTGAACATACTAAAAGTCCCCTAAAATTGAAGCTGTACGGCCGCCATGTTGGAAAATGGCGGCATATTTCTGTATTTTTCTAAATATACAAAATGTAGGTCATCTAAAAATACACATTTTTTGTATTTACTATCTTTCTCTAAACCCAACGGTTTTTGAGTTATTTGTTATTAAGTTATATTTAGTTTTTTCTATTTATCAAAAATAGGTGAAACACATGGAAATTTACCGTTACTTTCAAGGTTCAAGGATAATGATAATTTATCCCATTTAGTTAAATAGTGTGATAACATAAAATCTTAAGATTTAAGCTTATTTTATGAGTAAAACAACTCCGCTACAGCAAACCTGCAGACTCAGCAAATTTCCATTTGATTGGATGTTTTATTAAATGTATATAAATAAAATTGGGTTCAACAGGTACCTAGGTTTGCTGCTACAGGTAGGTTATTATAGTGTGTGTTTTTTTTTTAAGTAAAATATCAATAACTTAGTATAAAATATAACTAATTTTCCAAGTTTGATCATAATATATCTATAAACAAGCAAACTGCAACGTACGTGTTATTAAATTACCTGAAAAAAAAGCAAAAATATATACGTCTCATAACACTTGTAATAATATATTTACACTTATACTTATACTGTTGACTTAATTACAAGATGGTAAATACATATAAAAGTTAATAAGTAGTAATCAATTTCGATTGGACACTCCAATCATCATCAGACTTTTATATGTATTTACCGTCTTGTAAGGCAACATATGTAAGGCAGCATGTGTAAATATATTATTACAAGTGTTATGAAACGTATATATTTTTTTCAGATTTATATTTCAAACATTTTTCAAAGTAAAATGGGTTTTGTTATGAAAAAGTTTGAATTCAAACAAATTCTGTTTTTATTTAAGGTGTAACTAACAACAATCATTTTTTGTTAGGATTCCATCAAAAAGAATTTTACCAAGAAATTTATTCCCTAGGCCTATAGTATGGATTCTAATCACTAGGTCAAAATAAATGTACATCCAAGTCCAAACAGGATTGTAAAAAATCATAAATTGTATTCAATTTTTAATCTATTCATAGGCCTGAATATTCAGTTACCGTATGTAATACATTTTTATTACAAAAAGTTCCATTTCACACATATTAACACCAACACCAGTAAAAGACGCTGACCCAATAACACAAACAGTAAAAACTTCTAGGAACAAATAAGCACATTATTTTTTTGTTTTTTTCTTTCATCAGAGTTGGTGAACCTTGATATTCTTTGCTAATTAAAGAGCTGATTTGGCGCCATCTATTATCTAAGGCTCCAACATCAAAAGGAGTCTGGGAATTATACAATTTAATATAAAAATTAGTATATCTAGCAGCTTAATGGCAACACTCTTAATGAGCTATTTAGATTTGATTAAGATCACTTGTTGTATTTTTTTATTATTCGTTCAAGATAAAAATCTAAATGAGTTATTAATCATTACGTATTAATATGCACAATATTCATTTTACTATCTGAATGTATAGCATGTTTCCCGAATCACTTATGAAACCCAGCCAATCACGTTCTCGACATTACAACATCAATAATAGACTATTTTTGTCCTAACCCAAAAACTTAAATGAAATATAAAATGTCTTTATGTGAGAGGCGAAATTAGGACTTGCAAGTCCTATTTACCACTTATCCTCTAAAACATAAATAAAACCATCCACTTATACAAATTAAATTAAATAATCTAAAAGTACTATATTAGGTAAAAATGATTAAATTAAATTTACTAATCTTAAAAATCCCATTCACACAAGCCGCTAACAACCCGTCACCCCAGCATCAGAGACTCGCTCATGCCCCAAACCTCGCTTTTATCTCTGCCCCAAACCTCGCGTGGTTTTCTATGGATTTTTCATGGTCAGGAAGAGAATTCAACATTAAAATTGCAGATACAATTAAAGAAAGATTTATTAAAAACTGTTGATCGGTGAATTGGTGTAGATAAAAGGAGAGAGCCTCTATGAGTGGCACGGGTGCTGATGTCATGCAAGTTGTCTGATAAATAATTGGGAATTTTACTTTTGATAATGGAGTGTAGAATACGGAGGGTGTGAAATTCCCAAAGTTCATTTAACTTCATTAATGAAGGCAGGTTGAAATAGGGAGTGACATGGTCATATCGTCTAAGGCCGAATATCAATCTGATACAGGAATTCTTTGCCAATTGAAGTGTGCTATAGTCCTTGCCAACCTAAGTTGAGGCAGCCCAAGGCCGTACGGCGTATATCTAGTGCGGCCTTTGGCTGCCTCAACTTAGGGTGGCGAGGACTATAGACACTTCATTAGTCATGTCATTGATTACCACATATTAACAGTAGTTAGATGGAGTCAAGATGAGAGTTTTTACTAACAAGATTTTTAAGTTCAGTAGACAGTATTCTGCAAAACGTTTGATGGTGTGAATAAATGGCACAGGATAATGAAGGAAAATTCATTAACAGGAGAAAACATGTTACTCATACATACACAATGTTAAAATGCTATACAGTAAACCCCCAGATCTTGCATTAACGGATAATCGG